GCCGCCGGGCTGCAGCTGCGGTGGGTCGGGCTGAGAGCTGGACTGAGAGAGGGGAGAGAAACCTTCCCGGAGCCGAGCTGACAGCTCCAGTAACAGTGTGTCCAATCAAAGCACAGGAGGCGGAGCCGGCGGTGTGAATGCTAATGAACATCTGCAAACAACAGCGCAGACACAGAGGCAACAACAGGCCCGGGGGCAGACACCGGGTCGGGAGGGTTACTCTAACTAAATGTACTCAGATACAGTTAGTAACTTAATTATAGGTGTCACAGTGTCTGTAGTTTGACTGCAGGGGCACAGGAGGGGGACTGTGAGTCAGTGGTCTGAAGTAGGGTAGTTAGGGCCCCAGTGTGCAGAAATATTCAACATATATTAAATTACACATTTATACCACATAAACTGCACACAAACATGTCTGCAAAGGAGAGACTTGTAGGTACCTATAGGGCCCATTTTTATTCAGATACCCTGAGGTCAGAGGTCAAGCGATCTCTTTGAAAATGGGCATGACAGTTTTTCTGTTATTTAGCCCCCTAGATAGTATGACAGCGCTGTAACTGGGCCTCTGAAAGACAGTGTGGAGTGGAAGAGGGAAGGATAATGGGGGGACTCCCCTCTGGAAACACCCCTGACCATATCCAAGTAACATAACGTAGATTACTTTCCAGTACTTTCTGATTACGTCAACAACAAATAAACAAGTAAAAATGAATATGTGTAAGACAACAGATGAAATATGACCTCTCCTCAGTGTGATTTTTAAAGAAAAACTTGTTTTCCAGTAAGCAAATTCAGGCAGCAGCCTATAGACCATATTTCACAGCTGGAGGACGTAACTGGCACTTTGCTGTGTTGTTGTTCCTTTTTCTGCTTTATAGACTAAATAAAGATGAAATTTCCCTTCAGTGAAAGCATCTGTTTCACAAGCGGTCCTGATGATGAACTGACGACTGTAAGATAAGCAGTTGTTTCACTCCAGACCTCATGTGAGACTCATGTACATGGTGCTGTATTGATCTTTATTTTTAATAATCCTCATTTTAACTAAAATCTGATAACAGCTCTTTCCCCCCTGTAACTTTAATGGATTACAGTTACCTTTTTTATTGATTACATAACTCGGTTACATGTAATCTGTTACTGCCCAAAGCCTGCCAACGTCTGACCAACAGGATATTGGTCCGGAAGCACCTTTTCTTTGTGTTTGTGACGGCCCTGTTTGATGCGAGCTGTTTAATAAACTGCACCAGTGAGTCAGGCTGCGTTCACACTGCAGGTCAAAGAGACTCAGGTCTTTAATGACAGTGCAAACAGCACAAATCACATCCAATCCAAGCTTCTTGGTTCTGTTTTGGTCTGATTCTGTGCAGTGTGACCTCAGTGTGAACACTCATATCAGAAGTCATGTGACTCTAGATTGACATTCATCATGCGGTTCACTTCAGGACCGAGACCTGTTCAGACTGTAATCTGATATGAGCCACATGTGAAAATGTGCCCTGGTAAACACCCGTGTCTTTTAAACTTCATGTCTCCAGCTTCTCATACCACTTCTGTTTCCTTCTTATCTCAAACCCCAAACTGGGATGTACTTTCAGAGACTTGATTAAGCTCAAAAGATTAAGAACAAACCATTATTGTTATTATTTATTATCTGTCAATATTCTCTATTAAAGGACCGGTGTGTAGGATTTAATGGCAACTCCTTCACTTCACCCTCCACTTCCAAGCACAAAGCCCAAGCTACAGTGGCAGCTCTATCTAGAGCCAGTGTTTGGTTTGTCCCTTCTGGGCTCCTGTAGAAACACTGCAGACTGTATCGAAGGCCCCGCAGCGTCTGTATAAAGGGCTCCTTCTGAGATAATAAAAACATAACAATTCCTATATTCAGGTGATTATAAACTAATGAAAACATACCTATAAATGTTATTTCACATTTCTGCCAATACGTCCTCCTAAATGTTACAAACTGGACCTTTACACTTTTACAACCCCAAAGATATTCTGTTTACTGTCATAGAAGATTGAAGAAACCAGAACATTTGAGAAGCTGAAATAAACAAATTTGGTAAATTCTATTTCTATCTATCACAACAGGTATTGACAACAGTGTGCGACTAACTTTGTGGTAACAGTTTGGGGAAGTTTCAACATGTAAGAGCCTCTATACACAAAGTCAGGTCAAATAAAGAGACTGTGTCCCAGTTTTGGTGGCAGACTTGTCTTACTTTCACACGGATGAATATAATAAAAATTGGTCTTATACATCCAAGTCGTGCAAGCCTTAAAATCTCAATCATCTTGCTTTCATCAAGTCTTTTAAAAGGTCCCAAAGGCAAAGACAATATGTCTCATTCATCTAAACTAAACACACAACAAGCATTGATTACAGTCGCTCTTGTCACGTCCACAACTGACCACTGCATTCAGGCGGGTTTGATTGACCTTCTGCTTTGACCCAGTTGTTACTTCATGTATGGACTTATTCAGTCCACTCGTGTCTTGATGAATGGGACATTTGTTCTTTATCAGAAATCTCGGAATTGAATTGGTCCAAATCAGGTTGTTTTTCCGTCTGAGTGCAGGAATCATGACTTTAATATCAATCACTGAGTTATATCTGTGTTTTTGTACTTTCTTATTAACTCCTTAAGATAATTAAGATACAAGCTCATGAGTTGAGTGTGACACACATTATTTGTACAATATCACCATGTTAAATGTCACTTCCAATGTTAGTGGTTGCTCATCTTCAAGAAATTAGCTTGTTTTTTCTTTCTGAGAAGATATTTAGCTTTGCTCTCTGAAAAACGTCAGTCGTGTGAAAGTGGAACTGAAAACAAATCTGAACTCAAGAATGCAAAAACGTACTATAACTTACTCTCAGTAACAACAAGGCCTCTTATATTTCTTCTCTAAACTTACTTTTAATTTGAAAGCACCAGCTCAAACCCAGATCTAATTCTTACACTGATGAATGTATTTGCAAATGAATATCTTGATTAATGATGATATCCACTTATAGAGGATAAAACCAGATCTAATGTCTAAATGACCTGTGAGTGTTGAGGCCTTGTGCAGTCCCAGTGGGGGGAGAGGACTCATATATTAGATATATACATACATACTAGACTGTGTGAAGACAGATACACTTTCACTACAGTACGGAAAGGCTTCCTTGGCTTTGATGCGTTGAACTTTAATGCAGCGACCCTAATAACTCACGCAGTGCGTAAGTTTAAAAATAAAGCAGACTTAAAGAAGCTCTGGAGGGGAAAACAAGTGACACTAGACTTGAGTGTCACTCTCTATTAGATTAACATTCAGTTTGCACAAACATCATGTGAATCACACTGGAGAACCAGTGCAAACCAGATAACTACAGCTTAATTGATTCAGGGGAAAACACCGAAAGGTTGTGACTTTGTCCAGAATATCTGCAATCAGGACGTTTCAGTCAGGAATTAATCTTTGTCCTAGATTATAGTATTCCAGGGCTAACGGCTGTTTTCATTATTGATTAATAGTCAAAATGTCAGAAAATACTGAAAAATGTGACGTCATCAAATTGCCTCTTTTAGCCAACAGACCAGAAGATACTCCATGTTACCATCACATGAGACCAAGAAAGAACTAAATCTTCACATTTGAGAAGCTGGAACAAAACATTTTTTCTCATATTTGCTTAAAAAATGATCCAAACGATTAACTGATTATCAAAGTAGTTTCAGATTAATATTTAACAGAGATAGATAGTCAGAAACAGCCAATAAATGTATTTATTACGTGTTAATTACGTGTTGTGTCTTCATTGAATTTGACTGGTTGTGGTACTAAACAGATTATAATGCTAACATTTTTGCACTCCTCAGAAGTTGTTTTTAACCTTTTACATCAGCTGTGAAAAGGAAAAGAACTCAAAGTCATCTGTCTCCACGGGTTTCATATCACAGTCAATCTTCTTTTTCCACAGAAGTTCTTTGAGAAACAAAGAGGAGGGACTTTTTTAAGAAACAAATATGACAGTCTTCTAGTTCATTCCTCTACAATAGATTCAACACTTTATATTGTCAATATCAAGCTGCCTGAAATGCCATCTATACCTGTATATATTATATATAACTATAAGATATATAATAAATGAGCACCTACAGTATCATGACTAAATGAAATCTGTTAAACATGTTCTGCCACAGACATTATTTACTTTTTATCTGGTTTGTAAACTGATTAAACTTATCCAGCCTCTGCAGTAAAAAGTGGACAACATGTTTCTGTTGTCTGACTCACCCTTCAGAGGTTGAACAGATTAACTACGTGCTACTTTTCACTCATTTCCTGTTTAACAAAACCGTTCCTGGTGAAGAAACTGTTAACTGTAAATGATGAATCAACAGTGCTATGCCAACATCAACACTTTTCCTGAATTGTACAGTTAGTCTATACAGATAACTTAGAAGTGGTTATTCTCTACCAGCTGAACAAGACTGGAAAATGTCCTTTGTCTTTCAAAGTAAATAAATAAAAAACAACCTAATTTCAGATCTAATTTCCCAGGCTGTTCAGGCACATACAGCTTGTACCTCTGCTCTGCAGGTTAGCTGATTTATGGCTCTCATACACTGATCACTGAAGCAGATGGTGCTCTTTTCTGCAGGGATACAGGAACAGATCCACTTGATGTAAAGAGGAATTCTACTTTAAACATTAACATGACCAGATACCACATCAAAGACCTTCTGTTAAAAATGTCTTTAAGAGTTGAAAACCACCGTATGTCTGCATCTTGCCAGTTTGGACTGGGAGAAATGTGCTGGGAGGACAAATTACATTGCAAGGTCATGGATTTATACATTATCTCACCCTTGTGGCAAGAATTGGTACAACTTGCCTCACTGTGATGCAGCAAAAACAACAAAAAACAGCATTTTGTCTCCTTTTAAATAAGTGGAAATCAGAAGGAAGTGTGGTGAACTAATATTCAAAGAGTCACATTAAAGTAGGTTGAATTATTCATATTTATTTTAATATTAGACACGTTCAGCTGGATATACAGTATGACCTTTATTTACATTTATGTGTATTTTATTTTGGTTTCCTCCCTCATGTGCTCAGCTAGACAGCGTCTGTAGCACTGAGATTAACCAGAGATAGAAAGAAAAAAAGTTAGAGCTGCTAATAAGTACACCATCTGCACAGTCGACTAATGGGCAGATGAATATATAATAAAAATTTCCTGATAAGATAAACTATTTGAGCTATTTTTAGAAATGGCTGACACTTTCCATTCATACCACAAAGTCTAAAAGCGATGCCTCGTCGTAAAATGGAATCGTAAATTGTTTTGTCTAAACTTAGTAGCTTGCATTAAACGTAACCTTTCCATTCTGTCTCATTAGATTTACAAATTGGCAAAGACTTCACTACTGAGGTCAACGCTTCAGCACGGACAAAACACTCTGATCATCGTCTAGCTCAACAGTTTTTGAGGGGATCCACATCGACTAAGTGGTTCTTTGTCTTTGCTGCACTGAACTGATGCAGCCTTTGTTCTGTGTCAAAGTGCAGCTACGCCTTCAGCTGTGTATTATTTGACTCAAGCGCCTCAGGCTGGTAAAGTTTTCTCTTTCCTTCACTTGTATGAAACCTTTTTAAAAACTACATCTAGAATAAACATACAAATAATTCACAGCACACATGAGTGTCATAATCATGGGCGCCCAGTTAGCTCAGTCGGTAGAGCTGGTGACCCATGTACGGAGTTGCTGCAGCGGCCAGGGTTCGAATCTGACCCTTTGCTGCATGTCATCCCCTCTCTCTCTGCCCCCCCTTCCTGTCTATCTTTGGCTGTCACTATCAATAAAAAAAGAAAAATAATAATCATAAGCAACATCATCAAACTTTAGTGTAACAGAAAACATCCGTCCTCTAAACACCGAGAGCTTTGTCCAGGAAGTTAGCAAAGTGCTTCGGCTGTCCGGGATGAAAGGGTAGAAGAACAGAGAGATCCATGGTCCTCACAGTTTCTGTCAGGGTGCTGAAAGATTAAAAATAAAGTGTTACTGTTGTTTTACTAAATAAACTCACATGTATAAACTGTACATGTGAGAAACAAACACCTGCATGTGCAGTACAACAAGTGTGAGTCCATGTGTAGCGCCCTGGCCAGCTCCAGCTGGTGGTTGTCCATCAGCTTGTCATTGACAACGACCAGCAGAGGTTTGCCCGCACTCAGGGCCTCCAAACAACTTCCTGCCCCTGAGGAGGAAAACAAGAACCTTATTCATGACTAGAGCTAAACTCAGCCTGGGTTTCTATTCATGGAGGTGAACAACACCGTGACACAGATACGGAAGAAAAAAAGTAGCATCATCAGCACTTTTCCTTTTCTTGTTTGTTTATATGAAGTTAATGTAGCATGAATCGGAAAATTAAACTGAGAAGACAAACAATAGCAAACGTGACCAGGGACAGTGTGACAGGTCCTCTGAGACAAGCATGTTCCTGAAAGTAGTCAACAATTAATTTGTATTAAACTGGATCAAATTGCAAAATCGTTAATATGATCCTTTAGTACATATTGGTCTTCTCCTCCTCAGATAAGATTTGGCCTCGTTAACAAACACTTGCTGATCATCCTGTTCATCCTGATCAGCCTCAGACACCCTCATTTAGTCTCTGTGGAATCATTAATCATCAGTTTTCTGTGTAATGTTGGCACACTGCTGACAAACCTGTATTTGCTTTTGCTTTGAATTCAAGGCAGGCGATGAACATGGAAACTACCTGATTTGGCTGATGCTTTTAATACTTATTAATATGCATTAATTAAAACCTAATAAATAAACAGTAGTTTGACTTATGGAGCAGCATCAGTTGAGTGTGATGACATAAAAAGATAAATCAACATGTAGCCACTGTTTATACACTGAGAGGAGTAAGTGTGCTCGAGGTTTTTGATGTTTTACTCACCTGCGTGGCTGACGACGAGGTCGGCCTGCCTGATGTCTGCTGCTATAGAGTCTTTGAATCGGAAAGCCTCCAGTCTGATGTTTGGACAGCTGTCAGCCGCAGGAAGGAGAGATCCTCTCCCAACCTGGAGAACCAAACGCTCATATCCACGAGCCTTTAAAGCCTGGGGGGAGGAAAAACAATAACGTATTATTAAGCTACTATTATGTTAGTGCCAAGTGAAGTTTCCCCACTATAGAGAAAAAGCTGCACCTCTGACGACTCTCTTAATACATTTAGAGGCATCAACGTTTTTGTTTCATATTTCTTGATCTGTGGCTGTTGTCAAATCTCAGTGTTACTCAACTAGCATCTGCACAGTATAACGTTCTAACCTTTTGTCAAACACTTTTAATAATATTTAAGTAGCTTTAAGGTTTTAAATATTATCTGTGTCAGTTTGTTGCAGCTCCTCACTGAGGATGTACGATGTTCACACTGAGCGGCTGCATCACGCCATGAAATTAATATTCTGGATATCCTGTTCATCATTTTACCCTCATTTCACCCACATTTGGTATCTCCACTAAAATTTAAATGAAATGAGAGTTTGAACAATATTTTGCTTGTTAAGGTGTTACACAGTTAGAATGAGGAATTAACACAATATTTACATTTTGTTCAGAAAGAGAAACAAGACGTGTGCCAACAGGTGTCCATCAAACTGCAGCTTTCAAACAAAAACATGAGAGAGCAAAAAATGTTTATAAAAAGATTTAATTCTTTATTTTAGAGACGTTTTTACATCACTTAGTTTTTTCCACATACAAGCGGCTCCTCATTTGTCCTTGACGTGCGTACTGACAGAGCTCTCTGTAGTTGACGACGAGATTTGATTGATTGATTGATTGATTTATAGTCTGCAAGGACCTTGACCTGAACCAGGACGGGGAGACCACAGTACTCTCCTAAATCCTTGCACTGGATATGTGTCTCTATAAGGTCCTAATTTTAGTCTTTAAATATCTGTGTGACCCTGTTTGAAATAGACATTTGATCATATCCAGTCAGATCACTCAGCTTGTTGCAGGGTAACTTACCACCATGCCCATTCAGTCCAGGGTCGGTCGTCAATTACAACAGACCTGATGGACTGTAAGACAATGTCAAGGTGCTTCCTTCTGCCTATTTACTCGTACTTGTTTAACCTGGTTTAACTTTTAGTTTAAACGTATTTCACTGTGTTATTTTCCTCCATTTGAGATCATTTCCTTGAGTATTTCCATTTTATGCTACTTTATACTTGTACTACATTCCAGAGGGAAATATTGCACAACTTTTTTACTCCACTACATTTATTTTACAGCTATATTTACTTAGATTTTCCATAAAGATTACATGAACATTTTATAAAATATGATGCATTATTATTGATTTAACTACCCAACAGTATATGAGGTAGTGAAAATTAGCTAAATTAACATTAAACATTAAAATTAGAGCTGCACAATATTGTGATTCAGGATTATGTGGGAATGATCATTTTTGCACCACAAACTTAATTTTCACTAAAAGAAAAAAATCATGATGATGTGACATTTTTGGGAGACTGTACCAAACAAATATGTCATCTTAAACCAGGAGAAGATCTGTAGACCAGAGTACCTCTGCAGCACTACAGTACTTCACTATAATGCTGCTGTCAAGCTCTTGTGATTTCCATAATATTTTGATTAATTGTGCAGCCCTAATTAAAATACCACATACACATGATACATGAATCATGTTTCAATAATATAACAGTGACAGGGGCCATTCTGCATTGTGAATACTTATTTAACTTTAAGTACATTGTGTTGCTGAATGTTTTGAATGCAGGACTGTTTTTATAGTGTGGTGTTTAATTTAGGTGATTTGAATACTCATAGTGATTATATATAATTGGTCCTGTCGGGCGGTAGCAGTAGGTTTGTAGTATGGACAAGGAAGTGTGGATTAAAACCAACCTGGACGGTGTCTGAAGACGTGATGCGTTCAATGAGCTCATCAAAGCTCGTGGTGCCGACGGTCACAAACACCGTCTTCATGGCTGCTCGAGTAAACCTGTCAGTTTTATAGGTTTGTAAGTATTTTTAAACACTTTACAGCCTCCCCTCACTGCCCATCTTCACCCGACCGCCGCAGACCCTGACAGCTACTTCCGCTTCTGACCGCTGACGTCACCGCGCCGACTCTGACACACGTGCTGCCACCTAGAGGTCTGGAGCTGCCACTGTGTCTGAAAACAGGCTATCTGTTTAAATTCATTTTTTAATCCCTTTGAGCTTAATGCACAGCAGCAAAAATGCTAAGATCCTTTAATTTAAAGGTCCAGTGTGTAACATTTAGGAGGATTTGTTACCCTATCTGGTAAAGGACACGATTGTAGGGGAACATAACAGCATGTCACTGCAAACAGTGGCATACTGCAAACTGCAGCTGAGGGATAAAGTGGCAAACACACCTCAATGTCATGAGAAGGAAGTTTCTGATGTTCAGCCACTATATGAAGAATCTGTGGAGCTTTGACCTGAAGAGGAAGAGGCTCCCACTGTGGTGGAAGTTAAACTATGATGATCTGCGAGCTCTGACTGAGCTGACGGCGACTGAATATATTCACAGATCCATGATTCAGTCCATTACAAACCTGTTTCTCACAGTTTCCTGGGGCAGTGTGTCCCTCAAGATGTGCCATATGACGTCCAGAGTCGCTGGTTTCGCCCCCGGGCCACAGGACCTGCCCTCTAGCCTGGTCCCTTGAGTGACAGTGTCTCTGCTTTGTCTTTTTCAAAGGGTTGCTGTCCGTTCAATTGAAGACAAGCACGCATACAAAATACAGCATATAAATCTGGGCAGCGTGTGATGTGAAGACTTCCTGTACCTGGGACATGCAGGTGAACACCAGCAGACCTGCTGACGGAGCTCCTCAGAGGAATCAGGGCATTAAAGTTTGTACTTGACACTGACAGCTGGGCTCCGGGAGCACATTATCACTGCTGGGAATGTTTTGACTTCAGACGCCCTCGGTGATGAGCTGCCTCACATGAACCCAGTGAGGAGTCCAGGAGACTTCTTTAGATGTCCAGGCTGCATAAACTATAACTCTTTCAGCCTTTCAGTGACAACATTTACAGCTGTAGACATTTGATTTTACTTTATACTGATACTCACTGACCTATTTTAGAGGTAAATATTGATCTTAAACAATCCATGAGCTGAATTTAACTGCTGTAAAATCAATGGAGCAACAGTCAATGACCGTTCTCTTCCTTAAAGTGGCTCAAGTTATAGTTTATCCCACCTGCAATAAACACTCTAAATTTAAATACTAAAGCCTTTTAGCTATTTATCTTTTCCTTCTTCGTATTGTTGCAGTTTGCTTTTATCACATGACCCTTGTACACTGTGTTGTGTGTAGCACCAGAGCAGCACCTTTAAAGTCTGTAGTTGTCTTATTGCTTTATGGTGTTTATCATTTTTTGCTGCCTCGCTGCTATTGTCCTCAAACATATCTGAACTCAACAGTAGTTTCTGGTTACTTTTCAGACGAAGCTTAAATATACAAAACCTACAATGAGCTCACAAAATGCAATCAGTTAACTAAACAGGGTAAGTTATAAAAAGCTCCAGTTAAACCAGTTGCAACATAAAACTCATCTCATTTAATCTAATTACTAATCATTAATTAATCAGGTAATTGAACACTCTTACTTTACTTTGAATACATTTTACAACACCTCTGATGACACTGATACTAAAATATTGAGTGCAGGATCTTTATGTTAAACACATTCAACTTTTTAACCTGAAAATAACTAAAACCAAGTGTCGTGGAAATAGTTGTGGAGCAGTTTCATTAATTTAATACATGAGTTTAATTAATCAATCCATAAATAAATACACTAAATGATTTATATACTAACCATATAGTCATTGTGAGCACAGACTAACTTCCTTAGTGGTTATAATGTTTTTGTACAAGGTGAGTGTGTTTCACTGCTGCTTGCTGGTTGCTGCTGCACACTGCTGCACACTGCAGGCAGCTGATAGCCTGGTGGTCTGCGGTGGTCTTTGTTTGAAGACACCTTCATCTCTCTTGTGGTGTGGACAGAGATAAACCCAGCAGGAACCAGAATAAGACACCCAAAATGAGCTTGGAGGAGCTGTAGTGATACTGCTGATTCAGAGACGTCAACACCCACCCCGCCCCCTCCTCACAGAGCGACTGCTGCCAGCTCGGTGAAAGATGCACAGGCTCGGCGAGCACCCAGCAGCTCCACCTGACAACCGCAGAGCGAGAGGAAGAAGAGCCAGCTTTGTGCTCTGTGGGATGTGAAAACTACAGCAGTACCATTTGTGAGAAATGCAAGAAGAAAAAAAAAAACTTGCAGAAGCACACACCAACTCAACTGCACTGTGCCAGTCTGGTGCATGAGAGAAAACACACAAACACACACGGAAAGTGTAGCCTGTTTCTGAGAGCTGGTATTTTTAGATTATGTAGCTTCTGAAAAACTTTAACCCATTGTGTTGTTTGTCAGATATGACCAGAAACAACACGTTAATATGTAATAGGTTGCAGGTTGCAGTGTTCTACATATACCAGAGTCACTGTAATATATGTATAACATATATATTTCAGTCTGTAAGAGTCAAACTCAAAATTATATATTTTTTTTGTTATTTCTCTGCCTGCTCCTGAGGGAAATATCTGTTAAATACTTCAGTATGCTCACCAGCTAATCATTAACTGTCTGCTGTTTGGTGCTGAGAAGGTAGTGTACGCTGGGTTTTAGAGCTTTTTCACAGAAAATAGTGACAAGAGTGAAACAATACAAATTGGCTTCCTTTATATAAATTAAAGAATGACTTTCAATGTCTGTGTTTCTATAGAGCACTCGTTGTCAAACTATGATACCTGAGCTGCCTCTAGTGGTATGCGGAGAAATCTCTGAAATAGTTCTTTTAAAGATGAAATAAATACATATAAAAAACAAATACTATCAAAATAATAGGGTCAGCCTACGCTACTGTTTTTTAATGTTGCTCATAATGGTGGTATTTGGAGTATATTTTTTGAGGTGGTACACGGTGTAAGAAGTTTAAGAAACACTGCTATAGAAGATTGGTTTCTGAGTGTGGTGAAGCACGGCACATGACTAGTGGCAAAAATGTGCCGTGAAAACTGAACTTGGCTGATTATGTTACCAGTTAGTAAAAAGATCAAGGTCAGAAAACTAGCTTTGGTCACACAGAACTGGCTCTGCATCAATCAAAAGATAATACTGTAACTAAAAGGCCAGCATTTTTATTACCAAAAGATGACAGCTGTTTATCTTTGAAGGAAATAAAAGAGACATGAGACCAGGGTGCAACAGAAATTATTTAAGGCTCTGTTAAATCCTCAGCTTCAAAAAACAAAAACCCAAAAGAACAATGTACCATATATCCTGAAAAGTCACAAAAAGCAAAAACTAGTATAAAATTAAATGTTTAAAACTGGCTACCCATGTCATTAGTTTTTAATAAATAGGTTACTATAAGAAAAAGAAAAATACAAAGTTAAATCTGATTAACTGTGCCAGAACTTTTATCAAACCACAATGCAGCGAGTTATTTGATGACAAGAAATCAGCGTCTCCTGAATTTAAAGCGACACACGTCATGTAGTCAAACACAAATATGCACTGTGAGCTTCCTTTGGTCGTTCCAAAATCATTCTCCCACAGAGACTCCTCGAGGAAACTCAAAATGGAAGACCTGCGTCCATGTGATTCATGCCTTGTAAAGACTGACAGAATTCCGGCTAAAAACAGTAAAATGGCTCTTTCTTATCACTTCAAGTTGATTTAGTAGAACATTTTCAATTTTGAGCATGCATGTTTTCAGATGAGTTTAGCTGCTTCAGGCTACTGCGATGATAAAAAGCTGAATACTTGAACCACGGGGCGGTGGTGGTGTGGACTGGCGGATAAGGTGACCGTCCCTTGATGAAAACGGTGCCGGTTTAATCCACAAAGTCACACATCCTGTCTAAGTTTCCTGAAGCTAAAAAAAGTCAAACTGTAGCACACACTCTGCGGTTTGTGTCACTTAGAAGAACTATTTTAGACAAGATTTTCAAAATAAAGCGAGCAGTATACCTGGGCAGCCAACTGGTTGAAGTATGCATGCTTAAAAGTCAAAATGTTTCAATAATATGAAATACTTTGTCAAATTCCAAACTTTAGACATAATACAAGTAATAATAAAGTATATAATAGTGATTAAAGCAGCTTTAAAAAGAAGCTGCAACTTCACAAACACTCCTGCTTATTATTTCAGAGATACTTCCGACTAAAAGGGGAAAAAATAAAAGACTGAAATTCACAGATGGCCGTTTTCGCTCATTACAAGTCTGTCTGTTGACTCCGTCCCGGGTCATTGCAAAGGCCGTAAAGGTTGCAGCAGAAACGTCTTTGAACAGTTATGATATCAAAAATAGGGCCGACGTCTTTCCTGTCAGATGCTCTGTGACAGACAGTCAGAAACCACCTTGAACAGAAAGTTGTTACCAGTAGTGATACGTTTTTGTCAGTAGGATCAAAAGTCGTGTTGTCCCCTGGTTCATCAAAATCCTTGTGGTGATCCAGACAAATGATGTATCTTTTTTTTTTTTTTTTAAAGAAAGAGAAAGAAAAGACAAAACAGGTTATTAATACAACAAGTTTAAATGGCTAAAAGTAGCATCCTCAGTGTGAGCAGTGACTAACACAGGCAACATCTGCCACAGAATCTAAAGTGAACTTCCTGTTTTGGAACATAATTTCTTTTTCAGGATGTCACATCCTCTTTCTTCACTCACAGGACTGTCTGCTTCGTTACTAGCTACTCTTTGGGGTCTTTTCCCCTCCCGGCCCCCGAGCTGCTCATACAGTTGTGTTCTTCATGCCACATACTTTCTGCGATCTTATGATAACAAGCTAAACCAACGGTTTGTGCGGAGCAGCACCACCCACTCGTCTTTCTCACTTCCAACAAACCTCTCCTCTCCCTTACACTGCACTGAAACGCCACACAGTCATCCATGTGTCACATTTCTCCTCAGCTTGTGAACCATTTTTACACAGGCACTGCAGGGACATTTTATCACATTTTGTAAAATTAGTGAGCGGCCAACTGTGCTGTGCTCGTGAGGTCTCTGGCACAGCCCGAGTATGAATGCAACCATGCAAAAGGAAGATAGGAATGGCAGAGCTCGTACCTCTTTCCTCACTGTACCACACAGGCTGTGCAGCACTGTTCCTGCTTCTCTGGCAGTGTGGAATAATTCATCTGTCGGACGATCTCTGCAAACAGCTCGTCCACCATAGTCTTGCTCTTGGCAGAAGTTTCAATAAAAGGGCAGCCCCACTCTTGAGCCAGAGCTCGTCCATCCGACCCCGGAACCTCGCGCTCAGATTCCAGGTCGACTTTGTTCCCGACCAGGATCAACGGCACCTTCTCGAAGCGCTTCACTCGCACTATTTGGTCTCGCATTGGTCTGATGTCCTGAAGATGAAGAGGGAGAGGATCTTAGTGTGTGGTTTGCCAATAATCAGTATGCTAATATTTCCATACTACAAACTTTATCGTAGTAGATTGTCAATGCAGAGCAGTTTGATAAAGTTATAAACAATCAGTATGCTTACTTGTATTAAGTTTGTAGAGCGCTATTGATGACAGAATATAAAAACTAAATGCAGACGTACAACAATAAAAAGTTTTAATAAACAAGTATGGTGGTCAAACAGCTGATTTTAGTTTACAAATAAAGAATCATTTTCCTTTTCCTTTATAAACTTTAAGTGGCAATGACACTACAAAGTCCCTGTTTCATTTTTGGTATTGCATCATTTCCTGTTAGTAGAAAACATTCAAGCACTTTCAACTTTTTTTTTTTTAAATGTATACCAACAGTAAACAATTACAATACAATACATTACATTATTATATATATAATTATATGTAGTATGGAAATTAGGATTACAGCATATATTGTGATACACTGTCTTGCATCATAAGTAATGCTGCCTTTATTAAACCTGTAGATTATGGTAATTTTCTAGTTTCAACTTTAATTTGCTGTTAATTTAAGTTTTCTATTACATAGTTTGGTCAGATTGAAAAGTTTTGGTAAAGATGAGTCAAAGATGTGTCCGATAGTTCAGGCTGTTATCTTCCTATTTTAGAGGCACTGTTTTCCTCTACTGTCACAAACACAGTGCAGCGTGGACTCAATGATTGTTTAACAATCCAGTTCCCACAGAACAATTCAACACCAAGCTCACTACAGCAGCACTGACTTTAATGTCGCAGGGCTCTGGAGAAAGCAGCACACACTACATGAACCACAGCTCAAAAACCAACACATTCAAACGCCCTGATTAAGTAAAGGTGTGTTCAGGTACCTGGAACGACTGCTGGTTGACCAGGCTGTAGACCAGGATGAACCCCTGTCCGTTCTTTATGTACAGGTCTCTCATGGAGGCGAACTGCTCCGTCCCCGCTGTGTCGAGGATCTCCAGCACAGAGGGCGACGAGTCCACCTCGATCTCCTTTCGGTAGAAGTCCTCGATGGTGGGGTCGTATTTCTCGATGAAGGTGCCGGTGACAAACTGGACGGTCAGCGCGGACTTGCCGACGCCGCCGCTGCCCAGTACGACCACTTTATATTCTTTCATTGGGGCTGTCGAGGCAGGCTAACGTAGCAGCTAAACACTTAGCTACACAGCTATACTCGCTCCACACACATTCATCGGGCCTTTTTTTTTTTTTAAAGAGCTAAACAAGCGAAGTGACAAACGTAAGGCGATATAAAATAACTCCTATTCATTCACACGAACCCGAGCGCTCATGCTCGTTGTTTTTCGTGCGTTGCCTAGCGTTAGCTAAAGTTGACGTTCACGTTAACTCCGGTGTTAGCTAGCGTTGAAGCTAACGTTAGCTCGCGTCTGGCTGAATTCACGCCGTCCCATCCTCTCGAGCCTTTTCACGTCCCACCTGACAGACCGGGACCGGGACCGGGACCGGGACCGGGACCGTGGACCGCGTACAGACCTGCTGTCCAGCTACAGACAGCAAGTCAGAGTAATACACATTACACTTCCCCTGCAGACAGCATGCCAGTTCACACACACACACACACACACACACACACACACACACACACACACACACACCGGTGTCGCAAAACGCAGCGTTGATTCTGTCCGTCTGGGTCCGGGCCTGGTTCTGGTTCTGGTTCTGGTTCTGGTTCCGTGCTGTCGATGGACAACCCGCGGGTCCACTGGCTGCAGTTTGATACAGAAAGAAAAGCTTTTTCCACCAACTGATTTCCTGAAGCTAACAGCCTCGTTTCCGCCAACGACAACAAGACTTCCGGTGGGTCTGTTTTCAGAATAAAAGCCTTTTCTCTACAGAAAGGATCTCTAAATGCCGGAGACGCTGCACAAGTGCTGTAAACAGTTTAATTTGACCCCATGCAAAAGTTAATCTCATGATAGTCCGTATTTGGATATGTTAATTAGCTACTTCAGAATATCAGGAACTGTAAAACTTTTAATTTCAAATGTATGTATTTTACCATTTACTGGTCAGATGTTTTGATCGACTTCATGCAATAAAATACAACTGTTGTTGTAACTGCAATGTTCCTGCTTGGATTACACGGATACAATCCTTTCTCTCTCTCTCTCTATGTTCCCTGTTTGTATCTTTACTGTCACCAATAAACAAAGGCAGAGTACTAATCTTAAAAAAATATGTAAAATGTATTATTATAATATATTATGATAAGTGGTAAATGTATTTCTCTATTTTGCTTAATGATAATAATTAGTGATTCTGCCTTTACCTCATTTATGAAAGTTTAAATCATCTCATTTCGGTGACCAGATGTGTCACAGGAAGTGATATAATTTACCTCTCCATTGTAGCCATTCTCAAACATGAGCTGAAATCATATTTTTGCTGTCCCCAGCAGATTACCTTCTCTCACCTTGTTACAGTGATGAAGACACGTACTCCAGGGTACACCGTGACATTGAGTGTGGTTACAGATGCAACAGACATGAAACTTTGAAACTGCAATCAGTGATTTTCAACATGTTATTAAGTTACTCTACAAAATGTATTAAATATATATTTTATGTTTTTGTTTCGTTTTGTTTTCTTTGAGGATGTAAAAAAGTACTTTTAAAATGAAAAAACAGTTGTTTGATTTAGTCTCATACATAATCATCATACCAAAATCTCTCCTTTTACAAGTCATGCGCAGGTAAAAAACCTCACAGTTCAGGAAATAAAATATTGTTTTAAAGTGATAACGGACAACAAAACACACCACAAGAGGATCACAATTATGAGTTTTATTAAAGGTCAAACAGAAATCGCAGAACTCATCATAGGCACAGTAACTTACTTTTAATAGCTATACACGGCAAAATAAATTGGCATGTAGCACAGCAGCACATACAAGCACCACAAGCAGAAAACAGAGTGAAACGATAGATGACTAAGAAACAGCAGTCACTTTCAAGTCTGTCCTAGAGTGTCAGAGAGAGTTTTTCATATGGCTTAGTCCTGAACAGTCTTTGGCCCTCATCATCTTCCACAGGTTATCATTCAGTCAGTCATTGTACCCAATTTAATAATGAGTCACCAATGAAGGATTTTAAATAAAGGGATAAGTTTTACACACACTCAATACATGTGCTATTTTATGTCAATCTAAATGTAGAACATAAACAGGAAAACTACACCTTGCATGATAAAGGCACAATTACAACAGAAATGTTTTAAAAATAATGGTAACAATGAATCAATTTCAAAACAAAATCACAATCTTATTCACTTGTTGGTGACTGGAAACCCGCAGTATGTTAAGTCCACCCCACATGTACTTTTCACCACATGTGGAGTCAGAGGGCTGTGAACCGATTCACCAGAATGACTCAGTCAATCCACCACTAGGACAAGTGCCATGGCAACAAAATCGCTGGCTTTAATAGCAATTGAAGAGCATCACATGTCCAAATCTGAAGGAACAGCGTTGCGTACGGATGTTGCTGCTGCTGCAAGAATAACATCGGAAAACCAGGTTGTTTGCAATTTGGACTAAAATCCTGAGGAGAATTCAGATTTATTGTTGTTTTGGATAATGACAACAGAGAGGCAAAGAATAACTCATTTTACAAAATGACAAAATGAAGGTGAATTTAAAACCCTGTGAACACATCTCACGTCCATGTCCTTCTATAGTCTGATTTGTATATCTGCTCCTCCTTTTGCCTTTCAGCCTGCAGGTGGAGCTACTCTGTGCTTTATTTTGGTGCATTACTGGAGAGAAGACTGCACCTGCACTTGTGTATTCATGATGAACATTACAGGTTAGTACTGGCTTATTACATTTGTTCCAGACTGACTATTTCTTCTAATCCACCTCTCTTGTTTGATATCATATCACTGAACCGAAAATGTCCCACTAAATAAACAGAAAAAAGCTTTTTTAAAGCAAACCATTTATGGTTTACAGCTAGGCAATGTCATGCTTGGCAAAGAACAGGGCTCTAGCAAACAAACAAAAGACAGATCCCTCAAAGCAATCTTTTTATACAGTAATAAAATTATAGACATACTTATATCATTAACAATACATTGATTTGATTTTTTAATCAACTCTTTTATCTATATTTATTCAAAATAAATTTTGAGTATTTTGACATAGTTATGTACATAAGTGCAAACAAGGTGAACATCACACATTCGTATACACCTCAGCAAGGATCGACATCACCCAGCACAGCTGGGCAGGAAGAGGCCTCTGGACCACCTTCTTGGCCAAAACTGAAACAGAACTCACTAATGAAAGCTCACCTCTACGTACAGAGGAAACTGAGCGAGGGCCGTCCAGTCTGCAAGAGGTGAGCAGTGAGGATTACTGACTAGTTTGATTTTACAGAAAAAGATGAAGATCTTTCAATTAGTCCAAAAGCCTCTTTACCTCCCTGACAGATAGGTGTTAGCTTTTAAAAGCCAAAGTCCATTCTTATTTCTCAAAAACACCATGTACAAGAACAAAAAACAAACAATTAAGGTCAAATAAACAAAACAAAATAAACACCTGATCTCCCCTAAGGACCTTTGGATATTACAAGGTTTTATGTTTTCCATACAAAATATTTAATCACGTCGCAATAACAAGACAAACTAAGACATTCCCTTTTTGAATAAGTTAGTGTTGTATGTTATTTCAATGAATGTGAAAAAATTCACAATTAGGATAATAGAAAGGTAGCCATGTTGTCATTTTGTTGCCACAGCAACAGCAACTATTACCATTAACAATGACTCCATCATTGTATACAAATGATTTTCATATATATTTTTTCTTGTTGGTCTACACAAACTATTAACTATGTATAAATGAGTTTTTTTATTTTCATGCTGTGTTTTTTTTTTTAATGTCAGATTAAAAAAAAAAAAGCTTAACTTACCATTAATACATGTCACTTTCATACACAGCTATCACATCTTTATACAGTGATCGAGAAATAAGGCCCTTTGTTTGCGCCCCGGACAACAGAAGTATGCTCAGGACTGAATTAACTGTCCACATGCTAAAGGATCTGGTCACTGCTCACAATGATCAGAGCATTTTGCATATTCCAGAGAAAATGATTCCTGACTGTATGGGAAAAATACAATGAGGCCTAAAGGAAATCAAGTGCAAGAGAACGAGAAAGGGAAAGAGGTAAGACCTAATTTTTCTCGCACCACACCACAAATCCCCTAACTAACATGCTCTTGTGCATCAATACACGGTGTACATTGAAATGTACTTAAAAATTCAAATGCCCTCAAGAGGCACAATTTATTAATCAAGTATTCTGTTTTTTTTCCCAGCTGGACAACAGTTAGTGAAGGCATAATGATGTAAAGGGGGGAGGAGACGAAGGCTAGAGAGAGGGGTTTTTTTCTTGGCTGGACAAAGCTAGTCTTTCAAAGCTGTAAGATTTAGACAAACTCATTTGTCTGGACATTCTAATCATCAATTTCATCGAGTAGGAGAGGAACATTTCTGTTCAAATTCTTCAAAGAAAATGTAGCTGCTCAACACACTCAAAAGGTAAAGGAGAAGTACGTGTCTATACCAAAAAGTAAATTTCTTTACAGATGTATTATAAATGGCATATAATGGGTTATGTACTATTTAATCCACCATGTAGTGTAAAAATTTATATACTTCAACATTTTTGGAAACAATTATTTTGAGGGTTAGATAGAAGACTGATCACTCTCATGTCTGTACGGTAAATATGACGCTTGAGCCAGGAGACAGTTATCTTAGCTTAACATAAAGACTGGAAACAAACTGATGTAAGAGATCCGTATCTATATATGTATATAAGATTCTTTGGTTAATGTTATGTGTTTATAAAAATTACTTATTATTGGCCGATAAATTAATAAATTAGGCTGATAAACACCCAGAATCTCTACTGAAGGTTGCCTGGCAACCTCACCACGAAGATTCCAGAATGTAACTGCTCACAGTTCCAATACGGAACTCACGCTGAAGCTACAAACTGTCATTTTTACTTTTTCTGTGTTCTGATTAAACAAACAAGATACAATGTCTATTAACTAGTGAGCTTAGGAAGTGTTGATTAGTGTTTTAGACAATTCCAGGGTAGCTGTTTCCCTGTTTTCAGTCTTTGTGCTAAGCTAATTGGTTGCTGGTTCGAGCTTCAAATCACACACTCACACACCACAAAAACATAAGAGCAGTATCAATCTCTCTTCTAACTGGGAAAGAAAGTGAATAAGCATACTGTTCCTTTAAGGGACACATTTATACCAATTCAACGTGAACTTAAGGTACAATTGCTACAGTTAGGGTAGCACATTGATTGGGGCACCCAGATTGTAACAGGTAAAAACACATTAATCCATCCAATCTCAGGGTAAATCCCAGGAGGTGCTGCTTCCAACTTGCCTCTATTGAACACAGTTTGCAGTGTTAATGGTTGGAAGCCGATTACATCCATGTTGCAGCACTAGCATCTCCTACTGGATGGCCTGTCTACACTGTTACGTCTGTATACAGCCTCCCCAGACCAAGACATTGGAGTTAAAGATAGATTAGTTTGATATTTTTAAACGTAGACCCTATTTTCCCTTTGTTTCTGTGTCCAAGTGACTAATAGGGACAACAATTTTTGGAATTGGTCCAGTATGGAGTGAGGCGGCTGCAACGTTATCCTTATGGGAAATTGGGCACCATTAATGTACAACCACTAAACGTGCTTGTATTTGCCACTGATAGGCTCCGATTGTTATTATTAAACAATTAGATGTTAAAATATTCCTCTCCTGATCTCCCTCCTACGTGGAGTTATATTTTGACATATAACTCTATAGTTAATTAAGAATGTATTCAACCAAACCAGACTTGTTTTCACTGTTTGAACAATGGAAAGACAATGTGGTCTGGTCACTTTGAACAGAGTGATATAACTGCTGTTTCTGGTAAAACAAAAAGGATCTGACTCTTTCACCAAAAGGTCTATTTCTATAGGGTCCTTTCTATATTATTGTCAGACACCTATAATAATATCTGAGACTGTAAGTGGCAAAAACAAGCACTTTTAGTGGACGTACTTTGAGGGTGCTCAATTGCCCATAAGGATTACGTTGTAGCCAGTTTTGTGGCTGCAGTCCCCTCACTCCATACTAGACCAATTTCAAAAAGTGTTGTCTCCGTTAGTCACTTAGACACAAAAACATGGGAAAATAGGGTTCAGGCGGAAAGATACCAAAGTTTTTCTTTAACAGAAACAAGGACTGCAGTACAGGAGAGAACTGGCCGATCCACGTCATGTGAAAAAGGAAAGAATGCCAAAAAAAAAAGCAAAACATGCAGATTTTCTCAATATTTCCGAATGTTTATATTTACCATTGTTTGCATTTTGAGCACTTTGGGTACTTTTAAAAGAAGGGGGACAAAAACTGACTAACAAGAGATGGTACTGTAATGTACTTGTATGGTGTACATTTGTACTTCAAGAAGCACAATTCTGCTCTACCCTTTCTGAGAGTGAAAGACATTTCTAAAAGTAGTCACACCACCCATTGACATTAAATATAAATCTATATAACAATACACATACTTTAATATGTCTTAACACAGCATCAGCATGGTACCTATGTGACCTCAGAAATAGTCTATATATAGTGAATCATTACATTTCAACATGCCAGTCTTTTAGAGGGGCATGTGTTGAGTTTTTGCATTAGATACATTCACGACACAATAACATTATTTAAAATGAATAATGCTCAGTGGGAGATGCCATAATATCTGCAGCATTTACAACTAACCAAATGTGTGATTCATTTTCTCTTTCAACACACTTATGTATGCACACAACTCACTGATTTATTTCTTTACATAAACGATCAGACAGCACAGCTGTCTCAGAGAAGAAACTACAGATGTGATTTACTATTATAATAATGTACCAAATAACACATCTATCTTTGAGCACTGGTCTGTTCTTACAGTGTATTGACAGTGGTGGTTTGAGGAGACTTGAAAGAGGCACATTTGAATTTGGATAAAAGTGATTTCAGTCCAGTTTCCAAAGCTGTTATGTTCAATTTTATACGCCTACAGAGAGGTTCCTTACAGACATTTGGACATCCAACTGGTTTATAATTTTTTTTTTTTCCATCAGACATCAAACGAGTGATTTATTCCCCCATCTCCTGGCTTTACCATAACTCAGTTCTGGTTATAACAACTGTGGCTGCCATATTCAGACTCTGGCTTTTGACAAAAAGGGCACATCAGTAGAAAAAACGACACATTATAAAGTCAGACAGGACATTTTCAAGTTCTAAGCTTTCTCCCTGAAGAGCCATAAAACATAAAAATCTTGTGCCACTTATTCAATCGGCTTTTGGATTATTAAAGGAGACAATTACAGAAAGAAACTGCCTTTCTAAAATACATCTCTGCGTTTGAGAGGGAGATACTTATTTGGAGGAATTATTCATGTATTGCATTAAATGGGGCATCTCCTTGCATATACCACCACTTGGCACACAGACTTTAGGCACAACATCAGAAAACAAATCCTGCTTCCAGCTTGTGCAGTAACTCTGACATCAGGTGTAAAAGTTTGAGAGATGCCAATTATAAAAGTCTGTAATCTTAGATCTGACCCTCAGACATATTGTTTTGTGGCAGGGTTGTAATAAGAAATCAACATGAGTCCGCCTGTAGATTGTCATTCTTTTACACCATGTTTGGATATCAAATCATGGAGGAAACAGGACAAACAAAAATCTTCCTTTTCAATCATTAGACAATCACCCTTCACAACCACGAAACAATCACTGATCAGACATCATGGCTAAAGATACCTCATCACTCAGATTCAACAGTTTTAATAATTTCAGCTGTCTGGTTTATGACTGGTAGAGTTTTACAGAGACAGGCCTTCACATAGAGAACAATGACCTCACCTGCTTTAAGGCAGTTTGTTTCTTAAATCAAGAAATTGAGAGCCACATTCTTAAAAATCTATCAGCTCAGCCCCTTTAGTGTAGAAGTGACTGTATCCTAATTGTATGTCACTCTGTAGATTTGTATCTTTTAAGGTTGTTGCATTACATGAAAATTATCCAGTCAGTATCAGAAACTGACTATGAAACCGGGGACAAAAACTGATTCAATCATACTGAACATTTACGAAACAATATAAATTTAAAGTTGCAATCACTGTAATTACTAGATTTTTTTTTTTTTTACAATAATAGGCTAATACACAGTATTTTTGTAACAACAGATATTGCCTTTGATCGCAAACAAGAAAATCTTTCAACGTATGCTATTAAGTGTTTTGAATTCTTTTGGGAAACGTAGTCTCCTCTGCAGCTGAGCAGATAAATCAAAGGCACAAACAAATTAACAACAACTCATTGACGTTTCATCAGGCAAGATGAGACCATGAGAACAAACTGAATGGTAGACGTAGAACAACACAAATGTTACATTTTTAGCCATCTTGAAACGTAAACATGACAAGATATGAAACACTCTTTCATTTTGACAACATGTACTGCTTGTAGACCAGCAGCGGGTCTGAATTTCCAGAATTTGCTTTTCAGAGTTTCTGACTTTGGAACAGTCAAATGTGTTGGATCGCCTCATGTGATGGCTCCAACCCATAAAGGGCATGTAGTCTTAAATGTGTGTGTATGCGTGTGTGTGGTTGTGTGTGTGTGTGTGTGCACTTTTAAGGTGTTGGCATGTATGGCTGTAAGAATGAGGGAGCTCTATTGCTCAGCCTGATCAAGTCAGTATGCATCAGGATGGCTGCTTTAAAGCAACAGTAATACGTCCAGGCTTGTATTGCGTGAACCATCGCAGCTTTCCTACTTTCATTCTATCTTATTAAGAAGTTTCACATTGCCACTCAGTCAGTGTGCACTGTAGGTGAGGCACATGTTTGCTGCATTCAGAAAGTTGACCGCCCTTGTAGTGCGCAGGCTTCAGGGACTTTAACTGGGGTTTCGGGAAAGGCTTACTGAGTTTAGCGCCACTGGAGCCGCCACCAGCAGTTTGGGGACTGGACAGAAATGGGTTTCCATGGGAACGCACTGAAGCTCCACTGGATCAGGAGTCAGAAGCTCAGAGGGGTCTACTGGAAGAGAGAAAGGGAGGGGTGAGAGGAGGAACAGTGAATTCCCAATGATACAAAGATCTTCAAAATAGTAACCTGCAGTAGAGGACTCTGCAAAATATTTATAATAAAGACATTTTTTTCTTAGAATAAAAGTCAAATAACTACCACTTTGCAAGCTGCAACGTATTCTGAATAACTATCATGGAAAATAGCTGCCAGCAGCCATTATATTACCAGAGCTGTACAAGATTTGACAGTTAAAAAAAAAGCTGACAAATTATGTGGAATAAGATTTTCCTTCTAAATTTCCTTCTTTAGTCCAGGTAAATAAATAAAAAACACTCACGCCATAATAGGACAGTGAAACTCTCCATTTCATTGCAAAACCATGTTGCAATGAAATTTGATCGGTGGTTCCTTAAACTCCTTAAAGTAAATACAAATTATAGAAACTAAGTATTTTTTCCTATATAGCTCAGCCAGAGGCCCAATCTATGTGATAGAAGGCAAATAAAGACTGTATGTGAAGGGGAAATCCGTAAAAAGAAGACGAAAAGCATTTAAGGGAGGGAAGGTTGTCGATACCAGACCACAAACTGTATGTCCATAGACGAAGAAGACTGTGACAGACGGTGGTTCTACACCAAACTACAACTTTTAGATGAAAACAGTTACCTATTTTGAGATTCCTCTCAGAATAAATTCTGTTTTCATTTGCTCACATCACAACAGACTGAAAAGTGAAGACGGATGAAATGCGAACATAATACATCTGACACTACAGGCAGGTGTTTCTTTAACCTGATGAAAGAAGACTATGAACAGGACTCAGAACCTCTTGAGCTAAAATAAAAGAGAACTGAAATGAAAGAGCAAACCTGATTCGAGGCGGCAGATTCAGCGAAAGGAACATTGGTGACTGGGGTCGAAGCCGACGAAACAGTGGAGGTGGTGGCACCGTGCATCATGGGAACTTTTATTCGGGCGAGTCAGACGAAAGACAGAGGACGAGGATGTGGGCGGGGAGGAGGGGGGACAGGAATGATATGGTTACCATGGCAAAATGTGTAGGATCAAAAGTCATGGCACAAGTCAAGTGATATTGCCAGGATGAATTTGAACAAGTATCAAGACACATGCAAACGAAATGAGAGATAAAGAAAAATCACATATTTAATCAGCCAACCGGTTACAACATAAAAGAAAATAAACTGTTTCACCAACAAATGGTAGTTAAACAAACAAGGCAATACACAGTCATACAATCTAATCAGACTGGAGTATCTGATAATTGTATTCAAATGGACAGGGCATGTGTATGGAGGGAGCATATGATCCATTAGAGAAAAAAACCCCAAGACGTTTTCAATAATGTCACAGCTATAATGTGTCGTTTATCTCTTCTTCAGAAACAGTCCTGTAAGTTGACTTACAAAATTGTATCTGAACTCTACAGATACAATTTTACTTATTTTCAGTGATAATTTTGTGATTATTTCAGATTTAGTAACTGACCAGCTTTGCAAGATAAACATCTCACTTTCACTTTAAATTCAACTGATAAATGTATGATGATGATATTTAAATGCACATTAATCGCAATATAAAATATCTGTACAATTATACATTTGTGTGATGTGCTTTTTCTCACCATCAACGTTTATTACTATCCAAAACAGGTTAGCAAAGGAGGTCACAAGGATAACATCTCATTTTAGGACAAATAAACTGTCAGTTTACTACTCATTAACTATTATTAACTGTCATTAACTACTATTGACGGTTGTATACTGTATGTCTTCATCAAGTCTGAGAAAATAACACCTGATGATGTCTGCAGTGGTTATCTTGGTTTACACACTACAGGTATATATTTATCAAAGCCCCTCTTGGTTCACCCATATGGACGTTTTCACTTAGATAGATAGATAGATAGATAGATAGATAGATAGATAGATAGATAGATATACTTTATTGATCCCAAGCTGGGAAATTGCAGAAAATATGCTGTCTTCTCCGGACGGCATACAATCGCGCTTAATGTAAATCTTGTCTCTTATGTCTTCTGCTGAATTCTGATATGTGCGTTTAACAGGGGAGGGAGGGTCTAATGAAATGATGCCTTGGGAAATGATCGGAAAAAAGTAGCATCTAGTGTTTCTGGACCTCTGCTGCTTTGATTTTGACCACATTTATTTCAATCGATCTCTTGTGAGTCACTCGACATTACGGAAATGCAATACTAAACTACTGGAGAACTGCTTCAGGGCACAGTCACACATACGCTACTGCAGGCGAGTGACCTTTGCCTACCTTGAAATGTGGGCAGTGAAGGATGTGCTGCACGCAGAAATCAGTTTTCTGGTTCGTAGTCGGTTTTAGAGGTCTACCACAGGCTGTGCTGATCAAAGCTAACCAGATTTGAACTCCACATGAAGCAAAGATGTTTTTCCACTGGAAGAGAAGGTTTAATTATCTTCTTCACTCACATAGAATGAACGGGGGGAACTGTTGATTTTGCGAATATGTGACTGTGCCCTTAAGCTTTAAAATTCCAAACTCGCCCAAATAAAACAAAAATCTGAAAGCTTGACTACAATCGCAGCAGCTGCAAATATTCCTTTTTCCTGCCAGCAGCATAACACATCTTGTAACTTATTTCATTGTGATTTATACCAGCAACAGACACATGAAAGCATTTATTTTTATTTTTTCTGCCTCCTAAGTTTCTGCTTATACTGACAGTGTAATTATTTCCAAATGTGCTATATTACTGTCTTAATATCAGCATGAAGCAATGATAAATGTGGTATGGATGAAGAACACAAATACAAGTCAGAAAATGCGAGAAGAGAGGAGGTCACACACACACACACACACACACACACACACACACACACACACACACACACACACAACAACAAGTCTTCATGAAGCCTTTTATGACTATCATATACAAGATTTGTGACCACAATTAAGATCAGCTTTACCACAACTGACACCATATCTTCCTGTTCTCTGTGTATGTGTGTGTAGGTTCCTGATTCTGATAGATCTTAAATATGTTGTTAGTTTAGTTTCTCAAATACTGTACTACATTTACTGAATAGACTTAGTAAAATTAGTAGATTGTTCAGAAAGTAGTTGCAATTTGTGCTGATATTTTTGATCAGTTTTGTGAATATTTTTATCATACAGCTACAATACACAGTGAAACACTACTCTACACCGCAGGGTACGGCTCGACTCCACAAACTGTTTTTCCATTATGGTTATAGTGCCTGGTACATTTTTTGTACCAAAATAAGATTCCAAACGAGCTGAGCTGATACTAAAAGGTGGCATAGACACTATTGCAGACCACTGATTGGTTGCACGACACACGACATCCTGCACAAACCCTGCATTTTCAAACAGCAAAGCTACCATCAAAAGCAACCACAATTTTTTTATTCCCCTCAAAAATGGCAGCCCACAAAACCACACCACGGTCAACTGACGAAGTGCAGACGAATCAAGAACATCATCCCTTCATCTCCTCTCTTATAAGAGTAGCAGCTCCCTATTGTGTGCGTAGTTAGTGTGTGGATGTGTGAAAGAGAGAGAGGGAGAGAGGGGTGGAGCAGAGGAAAAGGTGAGCAGTGAAGGTGTCAATCTGGCAGTAAATGTACAGTGTAGGTTGCAGTTTGTCTGGCTGCAGCTTTTCAAGACCAAAGTAAAGCCCCCGTGTGTAGTTTCCTGGTTGTTTCCAAACTACGTCACTATGACGATCAGCTACTATCCAGTACTATCTACATTGGAAAACGAAGTGGAGGCACCAAAAGTAAGATTAAAGTCAAGCTGTACCTTGTAGTGGAAATACAGTTGTAGTTCAATAAAGACCTGTTTAGGGGGGCTGATAAAGGTGTGATCTGTGCAGGGATAACCTACAGGGAGTCCCCTCACTACTGAGTCCGGGCACTGGGGTTTATATAAGCAGGCAGGCAGGCTTACAGTGAGAGCATTGACTGCTGGTCTTCGTCCCGCTTCCCCGAGCTACCTGAGCGAACTGCACCTACACACACATAAGGTATGCACATGTATGCACACATGTACATGCACAAGGCATGCTCACACAGTGTTGAAATGACTTACACATTAATGTGATTGCAGACAGGCAGACATGATCAAACACAGACGTGAGATGAACAGACAGTGGGCTGAAAGCTCCAAAGTGAATGTCTATCATAAGGTCTTCAGCGAGTATTCTCCCACAGGCTGAATGTACCTCTACATTGGCACCTTTAAAGGACCATACAGTAGCAGTTCAAGCTCATTAACTGCACATCTCATGAAGTTAGATTACTGCTGACCAACTACTGTCTCTTTCTAGTACACAATGGTTAGAAATCAACCCAACCCAACTCGCAGCTTGTTAGAGAGGGGAACTGCATTGCAGTGAACATTTAGTCCTCTTTACTCTCCATCACAATAACATTAGTGTCATATAATACAATTGTGAGCAAGGAATGTTTTTAAAGCTCCTTTTCTCATGAAGAAACTATCACATCTGCAATATATATTGATATTTTAATGTTATCCATATTCTGGATCTTATTGAGCTTCAGATTCAAATCTTGAATGTCAGAGCTTCCTTTGATACATAAGAGAGAGTTTTCATTATCCATTAGGGCTGCATCTCACGATTATTCTAATTTATCTGTCAATAATTTGTTTGGTCCATAAAATGTCAGGATATTGTGAAAAATGCTGATCCCCTTTCCCAATGCCCAAGGGGATGCTTGTTTGATCCACAGCCAGAAGATATTCAGTTTACTGTCATAGAGGACTAAAGAAACCAGAAAATATTCAATTTAAAAAAAAATTATAACTCAAAACAACCTTCTCCCTCTTGCAGCATCCTCAGTTTGGTCAGGTACATTTTGTTTTGTTTCACTCTCTCTCTCTCTCTCTCTCTCTCTCTCTCTCTCTCTCATTTTTCTGTCTACTCCCTCACAAAAGAATACAATTACTAGCTAAAATACAAAATGCTAAACTAAATAAAAGCAATAACTAATACTAAACCCACCTGGAAACTAAGGATTCACTGTGATGCATATTTCTGGGGTATGAATGAAAACAAATAGCTGCCTAGATGGCATAATTTGTAGTTAACTGGCTAAAACAGGCTAACCAGTATGGCCATGTTGTCCTCCAATCAATCATTCAATAAAGCCTCCTTTACATCACCACATATATATCAGATATAGCTGACCTACCAATGGCTCCTGAGGGCAGCATGCACAGAAAAGAACCTGCCACATTATGTATAGCTACATGTGTGAAAAACAAGGAATGAAGGAGAGCAGACGAGAAGGACAGCAGGAGGAGGAAAAAAAGAAAACAAGGACAAAAAGTTGTGGTAAAGAAGGTCAAGGCAAGTCAACAGGTTCAGGTTAGTGCAGGCAACACAAGCGACATCGAGGCTGTCACAGTTAGTGCCGGCACACAAAGACACACAAACACATGTTGAACAGTGAAAGATAAGAGTGCAAAATCAAACTGCTTTCAGCTGATGAGCAGACAAGATATTGAAGCTTTGATCAGTATCAGTACATTGTAGAAGAGGTATATCTAAGCAGCAAGAAATGAAGATGAAACTTGTGTGTAATAAATGTGCATGAGTATTAAGTATACTCTCCCATCAGCACAGAGCAGGTACACTATGTGGGTGTTTTGGCTGCAGACCTGTATGTTGTATAATTCAGGCATATCAATAATGCTGGGTGGGTTGCCTTTATTTTGCCAGGACAGGTTGACATGAAAGGGGAGAGAGAGAGAGAGAGAGAGAGAGAGAGAGAGAGAGAGAGAGAGAGAGAGAGAGGATGACATGCAGCACAGGTCAGACTTGAACCCATGCCTGCTGCAGCAAGGACTCAGCTTTGCTACTACTAGGTTACCATGGTGCCCCGTGCTAAATATATGTTAACAAAATGTAATTTTATCAGTACTCATTTAATACTGTCAAATTAAGATTGTACATTTTCAGCCAATTAAACCCTTCAAACTGAGTTTCTCCTGATGTTAAGTAACAACTACACTTCCAGTTTAATGCAAAAACACATAAAACCTTGGAAGAAAACTAAAATTATGTCATGGGGCCTTAAATATGGATAAGAGTATTAGGACTGGAGTTGTCCTTTGCTCTGTCTCATTTTCTGTGTTTACACGGCTGTCTTCTATTATCTGCCTCTTCTAAGCCAAAAGAATTGTACTTTTTAAATATTAGGATTTTTAAGATTTACAAGATCCGATAGGCCAAAAGAATGCATGCGCCCACCAATCCATGCACCAACAGTTCCACACAATGACATTGTGATGTGTTTATTGTCTGGCTTTTGTTTGGACTGATAACTGCAATGCATTCTCTAAGTTTGTTTATGGCATCCACAACTCTCACCACACATCAGGCAAGAGTGAAGCAAATGCAAGCAACACAAGGAAGGGAAGTGTGGCGTGATAGAAGGGGTAAAGTCAAGCATTTACACTGTTGAGAGGCTTGCACTGACACAGCATGCATACTGTTATTACTACACCTGTAACTCCCTGTTTAACATTACCTTGTTGTTTAACATAAAAAAATCCTTGCATTTATCTGCCCAGAATCAAATTCCAATGGTTCATGGTTCCACTTTACCTCCTAGGGTGTATGGTTAGGTAAACACTAGTGTGTGTAGAGACTCACCAGTAGGGATGAAGGCTGGTTGCTGGAGCTGCATGTTAGCCAGGGCTTGCTGGTAGTGGAACATGCTGGGGTTGAAGACAGTGGCAGCAGCTCCGTTGCTCTTCTCTAAGATCTGCCTCTTTGGTAACTGCTGCATGGCACCTGGAGGCAGAGCCTGGTCAGGAAGAAAACCAGAGGAAGGAGGAGAGACGTTATCTTAATTTGTGGGCTAAAACAAGTTTTTCCTTGCAGTATATCTACACACAAAAAAATATCCTCATCTCTGTAAATGCATCAAAATCTAGTCTTAAACCGGACGATTAGAGATCTCAGCGCCTACCAAATGTCGCTTGAAGGGTGGCGAGAACGGCTGCTAACAAATGTTCACCCTCACTTTAAGGACGTCTTATCTGAAACAATGCTCTTCCATTCTCCTCCACAGTGAAACAAACTGCAGATATAGCAAATCACTTTGTAACACATTGAAAATGAATGTCCTGAGCAATGTTAAATGGTAGGACAGTGTTTACAAACACACAACTTCCACACATCACTGCCCTAAAGACCTTGGATTGGTTGTGCATTGCAGCTTTTTTAAACTCTCAAATTGTTTCCACCCAGTTTTAGCAACAAAAGCCAACAATTGAGTGTTTAGGGACTGGCTTGTGAATCTAATTGACATCCAGTTAACGGATGTTTCTGTTTACCACCACAAGAGGACACTGCAGTATGTAAGATTAGCTGAAGTAATATAGGACAGCCCAGAGGTCAGGCCAAGAGCAAAATGGGATTGTTATGATTTCATTCACTAATGGGGCTGGTACTGAAACATCTAACTGCAGTGAAAGATAACCAAGATTACAGGGAAATACAGTTATAACATGAATACAAACACATACAACATTTTAGGATGTGATGCCAAGCCGTCATAATTTGTAGTTTTTATCTTTTTAAAAAAACCCTGATTTAATATCAAATCAGGTAAAATATGAACCATTGATGACAATACGGACTGTTGTAACAGCATTAATACAGTCATTCAGCAGCATAAAGCACTAGAAGCCACAACAACAAAAAAAAGTGTATAAACCTTGGATGCATTATGTTTCTAATCCTTTTCATTTTACTATTTTGTATATTTTTTCAATATTGTCATTCTTGTTTTTCTGCATCAGCTCTGCAGATTGACCTGATTATGTTACAGCTGCTCAAAATTGCTAACTTTAGCCTTTGTAGCTTGCTTCACTGAGAGTACAGGCTCAGACACATGCACAGTAGCAGACATTCATAAAAAACATAATCCCCAGACTACATTATCAAATTTCAGGCTGCCTGCCGGATACTGTGATACCCTGATCCTTCATTGCATCAGTAAACAATATCCAAGTAGAGAACAAGAAAATCTTCTGCTGTGTCACTGCTATGTTAAATAGATATGGTGAATGTTGATTTGTAACTTTTAAGAAGGTGAGTATTGGCTTACACCTGTGATTTTTCTATCCAACAGTTCACTGAATCACAGAAAGGAAGTCGATGTTGGCCAACATTTATTTTTGGTAAAAAAGAACAAATACTTCTCAACATTAGTCCCTGTCGCAGTGTTGAGAAGGACTCACCAAGGCTGCGGACGCTGTGTTTTGACTGGCTTGGTGCTGTGCGGCCTTGATCCTGGCCTGCAGGTGAGCCGGGGGATGGAAGTACTTGCACTTGTCTCGGCTGCAGCGGCCTTTAATGTAGTCCATGCAGACAATGACTGAGTTCTCACTGCAGTCCACCATGCCAGCCTCCAGGGGGTGAGCGTAGCGGCAGTCGCTCTCACCCCTCGTGCAGTTACCGCGTTGGAATTCTCGACAAACCTGGCAGGGTCAACGGGAGCACTGATCAACATTTACCTTTCATCATACTTAGGCCAAACATAGAAACACAACAACTGCACACAGGCCGCATACCTCGAGCTTGTCTGTGCGCACATGTTTTTGTGCGGAGGTGCCGTTGCCCATGGCTGTCAGGCCTGTGGGACTCCCAGGGACCAGCAGGGGAGTACTGGGCAGCAGCTCAGGCATCAAGCCCATGCCTGGACCCATGTGGCTCAGATATGGACTGAATGCCATACTGGGACTCGTTGCCAGGGAGGGCGTCATTGGGAATGTTGTCTGAGGGAGGGCGAGAACGACAGAGACAAGACAGACAAAAGAAGTTATAGCAGAGCTTTCTCTGGCTTAAGGACAGGATTTGGTGGTAACATAACAACTACTGTGTTACAGCAGTGAGAACAATGCATATCTATAGCTATGCTATTACTTTAAATATTTAAAAAATGTATGGACTGAATATATAAAACATTATGCATTTCACATTTCTTTTTAAATGTGACTTAAGACTTAAGAGCCGTCCCTATCAAGAACGATAACAATAATAATATTTTTATTGTTTTAAAAATCCACATCACAACGACAGTGGGGAATGAGATCGTTGTTATCACTTTAAGAGGGATTTGATTATCAATAATGTGGTTATTAAACGCTTATATAACATAATAATAGGCTGCAAATGACAAAACCTAATTTTACCTGAGAAATACCATAGTAATAAATAATATGTTTATTTGATAACTTCATGAACCAAAGCATGAATAAAATTGTGAACCCATATCCTATCCATATTTATTCCCTATTTTATCTTTGATGGAGGACAGAAGTTGGGAAAACTGTAACTTAAAAAATAACTGCCACCCTGTTACTGACCAGAACATCACAGTACACAAAGTGCAGGGTTAGTATTTTGATAAATAAATTAAATTTCTTCAAACACACTGCATTAATTGAAAATGTGTAGTTTCAGTGTGGGCTGCTCACTATGGGCTGCAACTGTGCTCCAGGCAGCATAAACTGCATCTGTTGAGCCAACATGGCTGCCGCAGCCTTCTGCTGGATCAGGTTGTTCCTCCCGTTAATCTCCAGCTGGGTTTTCAGGTGCGGAGGTGGGTGCAGGTATTTGCAGTTCTCACGTGTGCAGCGCCCCTGAGTAGGAGAGAGGAGGGGGGAAAGATGAGAACAGGCAGACAGGGTGACACTTTACAGTGACTCTTACTTAAGGAAGAAAACGTCGCATAACAGGCAGATGAGAATAGTGTGATTGAGACACTAAATAAATCAGGGCTGTGACAAAGACCACAGAACCCTCCAACACCAAAGATAAAAAGCTTACTGTAGCAACTAATCTACGTTTCGTTGAACTTGTCCGTGTAATGTAATGTAAGTACAATTTGTTAAACTAAACAACAAGAACCAAGCATGTCAGAACTAGAAAATCCTGGTGAAATAAAGTACTAATGAAGTCCCAGAAGACGGCATCTTGGATAATTCATAAGAAATGTACAACCACTTTCTGAAAATGCTCATCATTAAAAATCTGAGCCATTCAAGTAGTTTCTTCTTTCTACAAGCAAATTATTCGGTCATTGAGCTACATTCAAACTACTTCTCATCTTTTCATTTTAAACCATGAACAAGACATTTTTTTTTTAAAGCAATGTGAAATGACAGGTGAAGTAATGAAGGCAGCTTTGGATTTTTCCACAGAGGCACAGCAGAAGTTAAATAAACTTTGCTGACAAGAGATAATGCGAGAGTGAGAACATATGCTCGACTCTCACCGGCCGGTACGACAGATTCTGTATCTCTGCCTGGTGGTTATCAGTCCAATAAATTAGCTACTTTCCAGAAAGTGGAAAAACAAATATTCTAATAATAATAACTTATAATATGGTATAAGTTGTTTTATTCAGGGAAGAGCTAAAATGAGATTAGATGAGAATTCAGAACAGTGAGTTTACTTTCTTCAAAATATTATGACATTTTATTGTATTTATTTGCAAAAAAAACCCCCAACAACTTTATCAGCAAGCCTGAAAGATAACATAACTTTTTTTTTTTACCTGCATTTGTACTAAAACCTCTCCAAACATGCATAATACTGTCTGGTGGTGGAAGTATTCAGATCCAAAAATTAGCAATACCAAAATGTTAGAATATTCTCTGTTAAGTAAAAGTTATACATTTAAATAGTTATTTAATAAAAAAGTATGTATTATCAGCAAAATGTACTCCAGTATCAAAAGTTAAAGTACTCAATGCAGAGAAATCCTCCCTGTAACCGTTAAACAAATCTGTATATTATTATTAGATTAGTTATATGTAGCACTCTACTGTTTACTGTATTTAAGGTGGGGTTAAGCTATTTCACATACTGTAGTGTAGTTAAATATATAATAACACAACATATTTTAAAAGCTTATCATATATTTTGTATGTTACTAGTAGCTAGAAATGTCAATCAAATGACAAAAAGTATTTAAGTAAATGTACTTAGTTACTTTCCACCACTGGACTTCATATATGGTACCAACTTTTATGAATACCAGTTTTATAAAGAATAGTTGTGAGACTAACCTAAGTGCTGGTTTCTGTTCATGATCTTTATTAAGCTTGACTCCAGTCAAGTAAATGAGGGCTTTTATGAATAAATCACACAAGAACAAGTGTTGTACTTTTCTATTAGACAAATGTGTCCCAATAACTACAATTAATTACTAAAAACACATGCTGTAACATGACTGTGTTAAACAGTATTAATTGAAAGAAGGAGGAGGACTATTCATGGCTATTCTTTAACAAATGCAGAATGCGACATGTTGGCTGAGCAGCCAGTATTCTAATATTGGGCTTATGTGCATAGTCAAAGCACCTCTATTTGTCCTGTATGCAAAGCTTCATTCATCACATGCAGGCTTAAACAATGGCGGCAGACAGTTTGTGTAAGCAAAGTCTTCAGGTTTTTGAACATTGAACTGCTGTTGTAGTCTATAACTCTCTGACTTTCCCTAAAAATGTCAGTATTGCTTGTGGTTAATACAATATTTTACTTTCAAAGTGAAACTATGGATCCAAAATATTCTGTGTTTTATTCTGTATTTTAGTCAGCTGAGGCTTATTTTTATTCAGCACCCCCTGCCAAAAAACATTTTCAGATCAGAACAAGTCATTCTTTATGCTCATTTTTACTTGTCATTTTTGGCTTCTTGACAAACCCTAAATCAGATTTAGAGCCATTTATCTTGAAGCAATTCATTTTGCCCCAGAATGTCATTAAAGCAGTGTCCTTGCTCCTTGCCAGAGCCTGTGAGGAAGGTGAAGATGGTGCTGCAGGAACACTGCAGGTCAACACAATCTCAGAGGAAAAACTGCAGTCTCCATTAAACTCCAGGGCCGACAGCAGCTGTCTGCCCCTGCAGATGAGCTGTTAACTCGCTAAACTACGTCCACGAAGCGTCAGCCCCATGCTCTGTCATCAAACCACACCTTCAAAACACAGTTCTCATTAGGTGACCATAAAGCTACGACCAACGGAGCACTAAAGCAACAGAAAATAAAAAAACTGACGTCATGGTGCAGAGACTCTGACGGTGATGGATGATGTCATGCTGAGAAGAGGACACATAAAAAAGGGTTTCACAGCAGGAGAGCTATATAGGACAGGAGGTAAACGCAGTGTCTCCTATAGCAGCATCCAGGAGGGATTCACACAACCTCACACACCAGACAAAATGTATACAAGCAGACATGTAGCAGCATGAAAAATGGCCAGGATGGTTCACAGGAATACACAAACACTTTCGCCTACACCCGAGATGCGAGCAAGCTTTGCGTCAGCGCACTGTGTGTTTAGGGATGAGTCTGTAATGAGGAGTGAGTCCCTTGAGCCCAGCAAGCCTGCTCAAATTCAGAAGGACAGATTAACTACCTATTAATGAGCCTAATGATATACTTTATACATTGTGGACCAAGTTGGACCAAATTACTGTCTGGATTTTTCAAAATTCTTGTAGCATTAACATTTACACAAAAAACCTTTATAAAGGCTATAAAATCTGGTGTAGAGAAAGAGGCCAATGAAAAGTATTGTTGAGGAGAGTATTGGGTCAGGAATCTCCTTTTGGTAGCCATGGCAACACACTACGCAACACAGAGAAAGTCCCTGTTAGTACAGTAGTGTGCTGTTGATGCATTCAGAGAAAGACGAGAGAGATGGGACATCGATAAATAGACTGCACAGATCTAAACTGCTACACACATCCTTAGAGCTGTATTATGTCAGTATGGTACAAACTTGATGTTTTTCTTGAGGCTGAGATTTTGGATGGATTGGTATGAAATGTGGTACATATATCGAGTTTGTTCAATACTTTGGTTTATGACCAAATATCTGCAAAACTAATGATACTCTTATCATCATATGTACCTCGTGTTTAGTGCAAATGTGTTAATGCTAACACGCTGCACCAAAGCACAGCCTCACAGAGCTGCTGGCATGTATCACTCTTAGTCTAATTAACCAAAAAATCCCCCAAAAATGTACTGATGTTCCAGCCTCTGAAATGCAAAGATTACCAGTTTTTCCTCGTCCTATATGAGTAAACGGAGTATCTTTGGGTTTAGAATTGTTGTTTGGACCAAAAATTGAACCAATTAATTAAACCAATTTAATTAATAATGAAAAGAATTGTTAGTTGCAGCCATGATGTCATCCAAAAGTGACACTGCTGTTGAATCTACTATATGTCGGGCAGATGTGATGTCCACACTAATCATTTGAGATGACAGCAGCACTCCAGTTAACAAGGTAAAAAGAACTAGGCAGTGAGCTGCCCCCTCCCTCCCCTGCAGCAGGTTCAGACCGACCAGACAGAGCTAATGGAGGAGCAACAGGGAATGACAGCATTCGGCTCGGACCGGGCTGGAGATGCCAGATATGGGAGGGATGATGAGGAGGGAGGCCATTAGCAGATAAATCCATAAAATTAACAAAGAAGGGAGGGGATGGGCGGAGAGCAGGAGGAAGGAGTGATGCTGTAGAGCGGCTCTATTGGGGACAGAGTGAGGTGCTTCTTTGTTTTTTCAAGTCAGTCGACCAAAAACAACAGCCGTCAGCTGAGTATAACAACAATGGGGATAGAAACACTGTTGTAAAGAGGTGGTTGTTGACATACTGTGCTGGCACTAAAGCCCTGCTGCAGCTCCTGATAAAGAAAGCGGCTTTGACCTTCAACTGTCACCAACTTCAGTTATTTCTCAAACTAACAACATGACCCCGGGGCTTCAAACAACCAAATATGGCCTTTAATGCTTGTTCACTGCCTTTGGTACAAAGCAGCTCGCCTCTTTCTCCCATCAATGCAACCAGTACAGAGCCAGGCTGTTGCTCTGTGCTAAAAACAGCCGTGCCACTCAGGAAGATCAAACTATCCAATGGGTATGCACTCCTGTGCTGTTGCTAGGCCCCCCTCTCTGTTTCTCTCCCTCGCTCTCTCTCTCTCCATCTCCCTCCTGCTCTGGAGGACATAACACAGAAAAATGGCTGAATAATAAATTCTAACTCAATAAACAAGGAGACAGCAGCTGCACTCAGACAGAAAGCCCCTTGTCTGGGTCTCACTTTTTCCCTGCATGAAAGCTGGTTGCAAACACACACGTATCTGGCACTCACCAACACAGCAGCAGTCTGTTCTTGATTTTAGCGCAACTGGCCATTGATAGTCTCTTCTAAAATAAAGTAAAGCATCGTCACTTCTCAGACTGTTAGTTTTTCCGCTGTGTATGAGCAGAGCTAGTGTTGTGGTCCTGTGGTGAAGGAGAAAAGACGAGAGTCAGGAGAGCAGCTGCAGTGATATTGAAGTAGCACGACCGACAAGCTCACATCACTGATGGACGGACAGACTGTCAGCAAAGTGGCTTTTATGAGACATTTCCGCCTGGGCAAAATAGAAATAACATCTATATCTTTTGAGATTGTTACACGTTATCTATATATGTTTAGGTATAAAGAATCATATGTACATTTAGTTTGTTTAAATTGGGGCACGCTTTATGATGATTTATACTATGGCCACTGAAAATCTTCAATTCTGATTGGCTGGAGGGTGTGGATTAACATTTAGTAACCAGACATGATAATCAAATATCTGTGACGCAGGTGTTTGATTTCAGTTCTAAATGAAAGCAACAGTATAGATAAAGATAGCAACAATTAAGCTCTTTGTGTAACCAATAAAACATGTCAGAGCAAGTCAGTAAGAGGAAGGAGGGGGATTTCTGCAATAATGTTAGCTACGCCATGGAGGATATTACATCCCGTTACAATCATGAAACATACAGCTTGTCAGGTCCCTGACAGATACCAGGAGATGAAATCTACCCTGTCAGAGATTTTCAAATAAATGTATACAGTGGGAACTTTCTCTTTAATATACCAGTTATATTCTGAATCCAATATCCAAATTCTACTTTCAACTTTCCCAGACTTAACAACCAATGTCCCAAACATTTCTTTCATTCTACATAATGAATATAGTTTAATAACTTTGTTTCAGTACCTCACATAACGTCATTGACTTCCCTGCAATCATATCTGAATAAAAACAATTAAATCACTCTCTGTGTCTGACCACAATCAGTTTTCAATCAGTAATTATTCTTTCAGTCACTGGTTAATTTATTGTTTCTTGTTTATTTCTAACTGACTGATAAATGCATCACAGCAATTGTAATCCTGTTTCTGAATGGTATATGGCGATAGACATTTACATACACACATTTTATACATTATTATTATTTAGCTAAATAATCACAAACTCAATACAGGGACATTATACAAGAGAGAAGATAAACAAACTATTAGGAGTTTATAGGAACATCCTAACCCAGAGATCCAGAGAGAAAGAGTGACAGAGAGGTTAAAATGTACCCAACATACCACACCTACTGACTGCCCACGCACAGCATAAGAGGAGAGGCAGAGACCCTTGCGCTGTTGGCAGAAAAATCTTCCCAGACACTATTTTTACTTTCCCTGGGACAATGGGGCATCCTTGATGTTGAGTACTGGCTGCATTACATCATTGCAGGCAATGTTGCAAATTAATGAGCCTGACTGATTTATGATAATATCTGATTTACAGGACTTTTAAATCAATGTAACAAAGTACCTTGGGCAATATGGTGTGGTGGCCTAGTGGTATAGGACATCTATATCAACATTATAGGCTATAAGTTTTAAATTTACTATATCATGAGATATATATATATTTATACATATATATCGCTGTCACAAATATAATTACCTGTATTACCTGTGTGTGATAAAACATTTTATTTCCATTGCCTACTGGTTGAAGTTGATTGCTTTAGACTCGATGATGACAAGCCAAAAATGTTATTTTCAGCAGTTCTCAAGTGTTTTAAAAATCATTCTGTGTGAAATCTGACTTTAAATTCTTAATATAGACAACAGACATGTTCACCATGATTCACATATGATATAAAAAAACACAATTTCAAGGCAATACAACACATTTCCCTATACTTCCAGCACCATAATCTTAAGTATGTATATATGACATTAGATTTTTTGGGGACAAAAATAGCTTGAAATGAATGTAGGGTTAAAAAGGGTGAATCAACTGACCAACTGACATAGTTTGAAAGGTTTCCAGGAAATTCATCCTGACGCATCTCCTGTCTTGAACAATTTAGTTAGCAGACAACACCCTAAACAATAGTCACTCATATATGGCATCTGATGTGTGAAATAACACCTCAACTACCTTAACACAAATCACAATACACGTGTCTCAACAAATGAATTTAGTATGGCAAGGATGGATGTGTGTAATGTCTGTTGCATTGTTACCTTGAGAGAGTCAAAGCAGGCAATGACTCGGCCATTCTCCACATGGCAGCTCCGGGAGGGGTGGGCAAACTTGCACTCGGCATCAGACCGTGAGCAGGTGCCTCTCTGAAACTCGCGACACACTTCCAGGGTCAGCCATTTGGTGTCCCGTCCCATGGTCATGCTGACAGCCATCGGAGTTGCTCACAAGCACTGAGCAATGGTCGAGACAGATGGACGGAAAACTGTCAAGATCAAGGGTGACTAATAGTGATGCAAGAAAAAGCCCCCAGAAAAAACACAGAGGAAACAGAAGAAAAAATATTTCTTCCTCAGCTCAAATAGTCAGCGAGTCCTTTTGGTTGGTGTATTTTAGGGGATGTTTATTAGTTCTTCCTGGGAAAAGTGGCAGCTGAAGTTTCACTAGGGTGAGATAGAGGGGGTCGACCGTGAGCAGAGACCAGCTCTGTCTTGAAGAAAAAAAAAGAAAAAGAAAAAACAGAAACTACTCTGAGGACATCACTCTGGCATGCTTAAATATGTCACCGAGCGCCTGTGCCTTCACCTGAATCGACTGACGCCCACCGTGAGTAACTGTTACATTCACGTCAACATGGCCAAGGCTGAGGCAGTCGCTGTCGTGCTAGTTATGTTAAAGCAGCCTGAAAAAGAAAATTTCTATAGAAGAACAAAAAGCAGAACCTTATAGGGATGGTGTCCTTGCGCTGATGAGGTGGCGATTCAGCTCAGGGTATGTTGGGACTGCAGCTCAGCAACGTAGGATGGATGACTCTGTAGCTGTCAGGATAAAATATAGCCTCCATACAAGGCCAAGCACACACTGAGCCCCGTCCTGCTCTCATCCAGCAGTGTCAGACAGCAGCAGACGACCCCTCGCAGTAGGCACTTTGGAGTTCCACTTCCTCCTCTTATTTCAGTCTCTTTCTCATCCCTCCTTCGCCGCTGTCTATTCTTCTGTTGTCATCCTCCTCACTGACCTCTCTTCTGCATGTCCTTGCTTGTTGTCTTGCCGTAGACTGTAGAAACAGAAGGGCAAACATTAATTCAAAGCATTGACAAAACACAAGTCTGTTGGAGAGAAAAATGTAAAGCCACAACCTCGTGTAGAGCTTGTTTAAACGGAGGGTGACGAGGACCACGAGGCAGGAGGGTGGAAGGGAGAGAGCCAAAGAGAATAAAGCGAGGACAAACAAATAGGGGAACAGAGCATATGGGAGGGAGGCAGCAATGAACAGGAAAGGGCAAGCTATGTCTTGATTAAGTGATAAAAGAGAGGGGGGGGAGAGGGAGAGGGGGAGAGAGGGAGAGATGGGATGGAGGGAGATTGCAGTCAGGACAGAGACGTCACTTCAACTCCCCTGAGCTCCACGGATCAGAAAGTAATTGACTAACTTGACATGAAGCTGCAATATAGTGTGAAAAGCAGTGTCCTTGAAATCGCTTGAAAGGCTGGCACGTGTGGTCGACACCAATGATTCCCAGACAGTTATTAATGTGAAGGGAAGAAGTAGGAAAAGGAGAGACAGGGCAGGGGGGGGGTAGTTCTTCACAACTGCAGCTGCTGTGCTCAATGCAAGGCTCCAGCCAATTGTACAGACTCTTGCAGGCATGCAGAGCACATCACCAACCAATGACAGGGCAGTTTCCACAGCAGCTCCTCCCTCCACAGAGCCCGTCCTTGTTCCTCCCAGGCTTTTTTCACTGGTACAGCACAGTCATGGCTGTGCCACATGCTAATATTCAAACTGTACAACAACTCTGAGCTGACTCCAAGCAGCTTTGTCTTCACACAGATGTGGAGGAGTGAGTTGCGTCTTATTCAAACAGTAGACTGTACTGCAGTGTAATGCAAGGAGGATGCATGCAGCTCGCTCTGTCAGAGTGACGTGTCCGGACACTAACTGAATACAGATAACAATCACTGAGGTTGCTCAATAAAAATACACATAGAATGAACTACAGGTTAGCTTCCTAGGAAATACAAAGTCCAAACTGCATTTTGGACTTGGTAAAAAAAACCTGAAGATAAAGGAAGTCTATCATGTATAAAACACAAGGGCACAGTAGTACATTAATGCACAAAGTGAATAAACAATAGGCGAGATGCAGGAGAGGAGGAGTGCAAAAAATAGGAGGAGAGGGAGTTAGAGCAGATATTATCGGTCCCTGCGTCTGATGGCGGCAGACACAGACGGAGGAACCGACGGGGGGGAGAGTGTTAGGGAAAGAGAGAGAGCGTGTGTGTGTGTGTGTGTGTGTGTGAGCATGCAGATAGACAGCCCAGAAGGAGAACACCGCAGTGGAGTGGGAGAAGGAGGGATAAGGGGGAGGTGGGAACTGAATTGATACACCCACCTTCAAACACAAGAACAAAGACACATCCCAGCCAAAAAAAAAAAGAAGAAGCAGGAATGAGAGATGAGCAGGTACAGCAATTGCTTTGCTTGCTTAACCATTATGCTTGTCTGTGCCTCCTCCTCCTCCTCCCAGCCTACCTACAGATCGATAGAAACTTTTCTCAGGGGGACAAGACAAGCACTCCTTCTGCAGCTTTGCCTGTCCTGCATTCAGGACCACATCAGTGTCAAGCGCCCCTGCTTACGCACACCCTGACAACGCAGCTCAGCAATATGCAACCCGCATCATCAAAATGCTCCTCAGCAACACTCCTCACTTCCTCTCCTCGCTCTCGCCACACCAGACACCAAATGGCGCACAGTTGCCATTACAACCATTCTTGGAAAGCTACGCAGCAATACTGGCTCTCCTCCAAAGCCATTCTAGTTTATACTGCAACCTAGTACTTCTGAATATACAGTAATGACCTTTCACTATAAACTGCTATGACTCTGCTTTCCAGGAGTTTCACCCTCCTGAAAATTTCCCCAATTGTGTAACCAAACCCTTCCTTGTTAGCTCTGGCCTCTATCCCCCTATACGGACACTGGAAGACAATGGAGGCTGTTAAGACTTATACCATGTCATAATGTGCAGTAAAATGTGACATGCCCACTAGAGGATTGTGATTGTTACAACGTGTCTGTGAACAAACAGAACAACGTGTGAGAACTATTAGTAAGCTAGTAGATACAAAATAGTAAATAAGTTTTATAAATTTGTTATGTGTAAGTCAATGTAACCACTTTATATCACTGAATGCAGCCGTCTATGAACGGACAGATGACGAACAGTAAAAACATTTTTTATTCGGAATCGGCTATCACATGTGCAGCCGTGCTAACAGCTCTGTGAGGCAGTACCTGTGCAGCTTTAGCATTTTAGGCTACATATTAAATTCAGCCCGATTAGCAAGTATAATGTTTACCATGTTCAACATCTTAGTTTAGTGTGTTAGCATGCATTTGCAAATTAGCACTAAAGACAAAGCACAGCTGAGGCTGATGGGAATGTCATTCGTTTTGCAGGTATTTGTTGATAAATCAAAGTATTGGACAATTCTGACCTGGTGATGGCGCTAGATGAAAAGTCATTAGGATCCATTGTCTGGGAACCATGAATGTCTGTACAAATCCATCTGATAGTTCTTGAGTTACTTCAGTCTGGACCAGAGTGTAGTGGCAGACAGACAGATTGACATTGTCATCCATAAAGCCACACTAATAGCATGGCTAAAAAACATCCCACCAAGTTTTCATTGACTCCATTGTGTGAGTACACCGTGGGACTAATCTGCACATTCATTAATGAATAATTTACCAACAGCAGAAGACCAATATAACCACAAGGGTAAATCCAACAGTACATTACCATCTTCATAAAAACATTGAACTTCAGCAGTGTTTTTAAGAGATAGTGCTCTTTAGAAATAAATATCTTTCAGTTTGGAATGAAGCACTTTCTGCCAAGCTGCAATATTGCACAACACGACCAACCACAGCAGAGATAAAACATTAGGAGGCCAGAAGATACACGAGCATAACAAACAGCCAAGGAGCAAATAATTAAGAGGTAGACGACACAAAGAGGATACGAGTGAGAAAAAAAAGGGGGAGGGAGAAGTTTAGCTTTAAGAACTGTTATAGCTAAACATTGCTCAAGAGACAGGGGCTTGATGCTACATGCTCCAGGCTGCATTATTGTGCAGCTGCAGCCCACACACCACAACTATCTCAGTGCTGTCCCTCGCAACACTGACGAATGGGTTAAAGCTCTTAAGTAAAAACAAAACATGCATCAAGAAGCATAAAAATAAGCTTTAGCTATGCTGCTATGATTGTAAATAAACAAATTCATCCTTACAAAATACACAGTATGGGACAGCTAATGATTATTTTCATTACCAACGTATCTGCAGTCATTGTTTGAAATGCCTGTAACAATTTCTCAGAGCCGCTGGTTGGTGACGTCTTTAAATTGCTTGCTTTGTCCACCAAAAAGATATTATACCTAATATCACTCATCTCACATCTGAGAAGCTGAAACCTGAAAAACTTTAAAACTTCATGTGTATAAATTGACTAATTTCAACTCTAATACCCAGAAACACATACAATAAAGAGTGTACATTTTGTACAGAAATAATCTTGGCCTACTGAACTTGTCCGACCTTTACAATGCAGCATAAACAGTCATTTGCAGGGATGCGGCATGGTGAATAAATATAGAGTGCCCTAGTTATAACAGTCATTATGCTGCAGCCTGTCCTCCAGGTGTCTGCAGAGAGAAGAGGGGCTCCAGCAGTCAGTAGGTGGGGGTCAACGTGTAGGTGGAACAGGATGGGGGAGAAGTATAAGGAGGAGAGATGGGGGTGGCTACTGTTGACTCCGGCGCACTGCGTCCCTCATCAAACACAGTGCACCAAAGGGCTACCGGCAGTGTAACCTTCACCGGAGCTCTGACGTCTGCATTATGGCTGGTGTGTAGGCTGGGTGCCACCTCGACAGACAGCCCTGCACCGTTATCTGCTCACGCTAATAGATACCCTTAAACCAATACTGCTAAAGTGTCAGGCATGCAGTCAGTGAAAGGCAAGGTGACACATTAACACGTGAGAAAAACATAAACCCCTTATTATTGTCCCCCTCTTAGATTATTCCCTCTGCTCTGTTCTTTTCATAATCACGGTATAAGCAGGGGAATATTTTCGGTGTCTGTCACTTTTACTTACTGTTACTTTCTTGGCAATTTAGGTGTTTTACAGATTTTAGCTTGTTCTACAGTTGCACTTTTCTTTCCTTTAGACTAAGGGCATTGGATAAATGTGATAAATGGGAATGTAAGCTGTTATTGGCTAATACAGCTGGTTGACAGAAAGAACAAAATAAATGGCTAAATTATTTAGAAGAAGTCAGCTAATTGCTGGAGTTCACCAATAGGCAGTGATATCGTCAGGGGAATCTTTTAAAGGGACATTGTGTAGGAATTTCTCCCATCTAGAGGTGAAATTGTATTTTGCATTCAAACGAATAGTGCTCTCTACTGCCTCGCGTTTTCAAATGCGTATTGCAACTACGGTAGCCGTTATGTACCAAGAAGCCTACCTGTCAAGGAGAAAGCAAACAACTTCAGCGTCCCTTTGAAAGTCTTTCTCCTTCATTAGCTCTTTCCACCTGGGAAAAGCTACCCCAATGTTTACCCTCGTTTTTTGAATTTGCCGGTCACGTTGCCTTTTTAATTCCCTTTTTCGCTTTTTTGGCGACGAGGATTCCTTCTCCTGTGGCTCGGCATAAGTATGATCCTCCATTATGAACTAAAGTGCAGTGCAGACTTTCAAATGTGCCGGGGCAGTGACAAGCGCCTCTCACTGATCTCCTTCTCTGTTATAGCTGGTTTCAGTCACGTGACACTGGCTCTGAGCGAAAACGCGTTGTGGATTAGTGAGACAGGTAGGCTAGTGCTTTATGTCCCTCTCAGCGATTATAGTATTTCAAAATGGCGGAACGACATGGAAGCCTCCATGGACTTGCCCGTCCAGTGTTTATACAGATAAGAAATTCTTCACTTACGAGGATAAGTCAGATCATTGGCAGAGGTAGTTTTACACTAATGAGGACACATTTATGAAGACATTGATTTTAGCTAATAAAACACTTCACAATGTCCCTTTAAAGGACAAGTGTGTAACATTTAGTGACATCTAGTGGTCAAGTTGCAGAGTGCAACTACAGGTGACTGAACACCGCTTATTTGAAAACCTGTGAATGAGAATGGGCTGTGAGGTGTATAGGAGAAACTACGGTGGTTACGAAACTCACGAAAAACACAAAAGGCTCTACCTACAGCCAGTGTTTGGTTTGTCCCTTCTGGGCTATTGTAGAAACATGGTGGTTCAACATGGAAGGGCGTCCCATGGAGTCTGTAGATAAAAACTGTTCATTCTAAGGTAACAAAAACACAATGATTACTATATTCAGATGATTATACACTAATGAAAACATATCTATGAATATTATATTATATTTCTGCCAACAGATCCTAAATGTTCCACACTGGACCTTTAAATGTCAGTCACTTTGATTTCTTGCCAGTGGTTGACGGCAATTTTGGTGGTTTAGAAATGTAGAAATTGCACGACTGTGTTTTGAATTCCTCTCGATTAGGAGCATTGGGTAAATGTGTAAAATGGGTTACTGGCTAATACAACGGAGAGAACAAAATAATTATAACACCTGAAAAATAAAAATCTTTGAAGAAAATTTGTTGTTGTTTGAAATAGTTGAGACATTAAAAGGCGTTGAACTGGTAGTTGAAATGTAATTACATGAAATGTCAGGTAAAACTGAGGGACTGAATGAAGTTTATATTATATATATATATTATATATAAGTGTTTTGGCTAATACTGCAGGTTGACAGGGAAGAAATTAATAATAAAAAATGTGTGCTCACTGCAGAAATATTGCGGTTTAAATATCGTAAAATGGTTGAGCTACTGAAAGAAGTTAAAGTGACATTTGAATACAATTACTACCAGTGAATTGAAGATTTGGTTGAAGTTCAATCACTGAGATGAATGGGGAATATCAGAGTAAATTGCTCTAGAGGTCTGCTAAATGAGTAAAATGGGAAAATACAGTGTTTTAGGCAAATACAGCAGTTTGACAGAGAGAACAAAAAGTGTTTCACATGAGAATATGGAGTTTCCTGTGGGAGTTTTTCTTTATCTGGAGTTTCCCCATAGCTAAAAGCTTGGTGAATTCCTTTTTAAGAGTCATGGGTAGTTGTGTAACAAATACTGTAGCTGTGAAAACAACAAATCTAATCTGCAACCAAATGATCTGTGTTACAGTTCAGTAAACAGACAACTCTTTTGAGAGGAGTGACAAGGACGAGTGCAAAACAGGATAACATCAATGACCAGGTGATTGATTAAAAGGTGGAAGATCCATAAATCACAATGAGAGTGAAAGCCTGCAGCCTGGAGGGACGGAGCAAAGTAATTAGGTTAAGTATCAGTAATCCTTTCAGCTCATTAAAGCAGCACAGTTCCCATTCAAGCAAACACACAAGAAGCCTATCCCATCATACAGGACAACATAGCCTACACAAAGCATGAAATACTTGGAACAGTGCAGTTTAGCTTGCCTGCTAAACTCCAAGTTTTAATTTAGAAACAATACTGAATAAAGTGTAGGCAACAGAGCTTTCATTTTACTCGCCATAATACTGGTTTTGAGCTGGGAGTTTCACAACCTGGTACTCAGATAATGAAAATTAACTGCTTGGAAAAACTGTAGATGTTATAGTTGAACAATTAAAGTATTTGATATCGCTGCTGCATTGTTGGTGAATGGTTTTATTTGCACCATAAAAGATGAAGCCTCTCGAGCAATTAAAAGGTTAGTTTAGATTTGGGTGTGGGGCTGTATGCATTACTACAGTAGATGGTTGTCGGCCCGCCCCAAGTTTGGGGAAGCAGACAGGACCTACATAAATTTAGGTGGCTTAAATACGTTTTGCTGCTGCCCCGTCCATACCACCTGCACATCACTCTGCTTCAGTGGGGGTGTGACGACCACCATCTACTGTATACATCTCTGAGTACTGAGTAAGCAGCTCATACAACCACACTTTTATAAACCTGAACTGTCCCTGTAATGTGTGTCTATGTGAAAGGGGAAATAAAAAAACAGGTTATGTGAAATGTGGCTGTGTGCCTGTGTGTTTGGCAGTTTATCAATGTTTATATTAAGTAAAGAAAAACTAGCTAGACTAGTGCTAGACTGGAGCAGAGTCCACAGCCTGGAGGGAGCGTGAACTTGTCTTGACTGGCTGTATTGTTAAATGAGCCAATATGATGGCAATACATCCACTGGAAGAACATACAGTATATGTAGGCAACTAGTGACAACACAGTATGTCATGGTGGCTTGAGTGTCTGACCCCAAAGGGTAAACAAGGACAAGGCTCAACCTCCCTGCACTGAATGCATGCATGGAGGCTGGCTGCAACTCCTGCACACATGCAGCCAGAACAACCAGGAAGCAACCTGCAGGTGTTCTCCACCTCTACTACATTGTAATGGAATAAAACAACAATATACGGAGAAGAGAGAAGTCATTCCACATTGGTTACTGTAAAGACTTCCAATGAAACCCTGCATACTGCATTTAACAAAACCCCGTTGAGTGCTCATCACAGGATAAAATATGACCGCGGCTCACAGCATTATTTGTATCCATGCAGAGCAGCTCTCAGCAGACCTGCCCAAAAGCATGTTCAGTGTCAGTGTTATTACTGCTGTACGTATGTGTAACACCGCATTTGCGCCCGTATTTACCAATATAAAAGCAGCTTTGGCCTACCACGCAACAGGCATTTTAAATGACCGCAACATGGATTAAATATAAAACTAGGTAGCATTAATATTGCTGCAAACTCAACTGCGCCAGTCGAGCTCAGCCTCTTACCTGTTCACAGTCCAATCGGAGTCAGACTCAAATGTCTCCTCCTAAATGAACGTCGGTTAAAATGTTTATTTGATGGTTATTTTCCACAAAGACGCGTTATTGGGCTGATGCACAACCAGTGTTGATTGGAAGTGAAAGAAAAATAAGAAAGGAGGAGGGGGGAGAGAAAAGAGCGCGTTGACGCTGGCTAGAAATAATACAATCGAAGCATGTAAAAAATAAATAAATAAAAACGTGTTACCGCCGCGGAGTGAAAGGAAGAAGCGGGGCTTGGTTGGCAGCTGAAAATGTTAGCTGCAACTAAATTTTGCTCGGCTGCAACACAGACCCAACACACAGCAGAATAACAGATTTGAAGAAAAAAAAATCAGAGGGAGGGCAAACTGGTGAGGGAGGAGTTGGGAGAGAGAGAGAGAGAGAGAGAGAGAGAGAGAGAGAGAGTGTTTGGTTTATTAGATAACATCATTAGCATTAGGGAGGAAAATCAAAGTCACGACAAAAGCACAGTTAGGTATCAAGGTAGGCTGCCATTAACACCTTGCAGGTAACGTTAGCACATATATGCTGAGTGTGTGTGTGTGTGTGTGTGTGTGTGTGTGTGTGTGTGTATGTGCGCACATTCAAGGAGGATACAAGACTGGTAACAAATGACTCATTATTACAGAGGGTCAATTAATCAGATTAACGTTAAATAAAATAAATAAATAGATCCACCAATTGTCTAACTGTGTGCTGTGAATGATATGACGCTAGACTGACTCTGTGTAACTTTATTTACATATTTTAGGAGAGCAGTTAGGCTCAAACACTAACTAACGTTAAAAGTGTTTTTTAAAAATAATTAACGTTACTATTTTTAACGGTCAAAATTTAAACGTTTGCCTAACGTTTAACTTAAATCTCAAAATCCCATTTAGCACACATTTAAACAACGGTGGATACGTATCTCTCATTATTTTAACGATTTAAAAACGTATAATAAAATCAGAATATAAGTAATTTATAGTTCTTACATTAAGGTGACAGAATATGGAGGTAGAGGAGCGCTCTTCAGAGGATACACCTGATGCTACTAGCACCGTTTCCGGTTGCTTTATGGCTTTTCACAATAAAACTTACTTTAGACGCAATTAAATAAGCTCCTTTTTTAAATTATTTGTCTTCAAGCATACAATATTGCGAATGGATATTGTGCAAACAGACAGTATCTACAGGCCTACTAGATTTAATAGTGTTTCAATGCTTTATGTTCTAAGTAGTAAGGTTGATCCCAAACAGGAAATGAAGTTAGCAGATCATCGTGCTTCTAGCTCAAGGTCCAAAGATCAGATTTGCTATTTAGGTGTGATAATGGTTTTATTTGTCCCTGCTTGTTAGCTTTTTAAATTTGAAAGAGGCAAAAATTAAAGATAGGATTTTGTTTTTTTCATAGTCGAATCCAAATTTAAATATATACTAAAACTTTGTCTCTATATCCAAATATATAAATGAAGAGCATATTCACTGTTCTCACTACTCAATAATTTCTGCCAATGCAACTGATGAAAAAAAGTAATCCCTCCTTTTAGCAATCCAATAATATCAAATAAAGTCTTGAGCATTTTCATTTTTTTGTGTATTTCTGAATAATTCTTCCAAATTTAGGAGCAGCTGTCGCAGCTGATCCCTCCATTAAATCCTCTGAGGATCACACTGAAAAATGGTTCAAATCCTGTGCACCAAATTTAAGAATAAGCTGTGATCAACTACCACCTCCACTCAGGAAGTTTGGATTTCATTAAAATTACTTCAGCGCTCCCTGCTGGTGTTTCAGAGGTTTGCAAGTGCAACACAAAATCTTGCAGTCTTTTGTGCACATGATCAGACAAAAGAACCAACACAAAAAGAAGATCTCTCTGTAAGGCAAGAAAAGAACAATAGTTCAGTGAATGTAAAAGCATTTTTATATAAAAACTGAGACTTGGGACACATTCAGTAATTTTACAACATTAGCAGTTAATGCTACACATTGAGGTATCTATGAAAATTCCATTCTCCTTTTCTGTTACTTAAGAGACACTTAAAATCACAGGTACATTTAAAAATGTACGCATTTCAGACAAGACAACAATTTGGCAAACATAGATTGTAAATCACAAACAGTAGCTTATTATTTATAGAAACAAGTATTACATTGTTCTTTTTAACAAAGAAATAATAGACATCCCCTCATTCCAAGCTACATCACAAGAGTTCAAATGTGTTTAAAAGCCAGGAGAACAGTCTAGAAGGCTTGTGCGATCACTGAAAGGTACAGGAGTACAGGTACCTAGACCAGCCTTTCTAAATGTCAAGGAAATATATCCATTACGAATGTCAGTTGTGGCAAAGAAATACAATCAGTATCAATAAATAAATGTGTGTCATTCAGAAAATTTACTGTGAAACATGTACTAAAAATAACTTGGATTCATTAACAACAGACAAGGCAGAACTTGGCACACCATTAAGACACCATTGTTCCCGTCACCACCACTGTTCCACATTGTCAATGTAATCCTCCATGGTGCCGTTCTCGTCCTGATCCCACCAGTATGGGAGTAGCTTTTCTGACTCCCCACTGTCTCCATCAGCCTTCCTCCTCTGCTGCTCCTCGGTTACTACTGAGTGTCTGTCATGCTGACGAGGTGTTTCTGTGGGCTTTAGCTGCCTCCCTTGCTTTGTTATGAGCCTTCCACGGAGCCGCCTCCTCTCCTGCTGCCGCCTCTCCCTGGCTTGCCTGCGCTCGTGCTGCCTTGCCACCTGGAAACGCTGCAGGAAAAGGTCACGGGCGTACTCATACAGCTCTACGTCCCATCGGTTTAGCTGGAGGATTCTCCGCTGCGTCTCGGAAGGTACGTCAACGCTGGAGGCACGTGTGCCGTTGAGCTGTGTGAAGGGTGCGATGAACTCCAAGTTGAAGGTGCGTTCAAACAGATACTGGGTCTTACGCTGGTACTCGGTCAGCCCAAAGAAAGCCATGCCGCGTAAGTTACGTTTGGCGCTCTCCAGGAGTACTGCCCAGCGCTCCTCCTCACTCATGGCAGAGACGTTGTAGCAACCCACCAGGCTCAGATCAGCAAGCATGCGGGTCTGTCGATTGTTGGCCAGGTTGTAGGGGCAGTCCATGAACTCCTGCAGGGAGCAACCTGACCAGTCATCTCCCAAGTAGCAGCTTGGCAGCTCAGACAGTGTTGGTGAACGTCCATCACACACGTGTAATGAGGCCTTCCATGTAGCACCACGCTGCACATGACGCCACTCGCTCAGGTAACGTGATACTGGGTCTCTTAAGATGGTTATATAATAATAGTTCCTACTGGAGAGAAAAAGAGGACATTAGGTGTGTAATAAGATGTCACTGTGATTCATTGCTATTGCATTGTTATTAACTAATGTATAATGTCAGCAGAATTATAAAACTACCCATCATAAAGCTTGGAGAATAGATTGGTTGGACTAGTTTCTCGAGGTTCTTCTCGGGGTAAGAAAGGCAGAGAAGATAGTTTTAAATACTAAAAACAATCATTTATATTAATTGTATCATAATTAACTGATTCTGAATCGACAAAATCATACAGACCATTAATTTGGAGTAGAAGTGCTTGTGCAATAGTTAAAAAAAGTTTCTTTAAAACTCTTTGACACCTGCTTGCAGTGATAAATAGTTACACCAAATGAACAAATAAACTGATTTAACAAGTTAAAATACTTCAGCTTCAAGTGTCCCATTAAACATATATGTTAATGTCTGTATCATGTAACGTCGAAACATTAACCCTAAAATCCCCATTTCCCATGCATCCTCCTGCACCAACCTGGGCAGGTTCTCCGGAACCTCTCGTGAGTCCATGCGGGACGGGACGCAGCTGGTGAGCTCAGTCCAGTCCGCGTGAAGCCCGCAGCTCCAGCCGGTGGAGAAGCGGGAGAAGAGCCAGGTTTCCTTTTTACCTGGCCGGTAACATGTACATTTCTTCTGACCTGCGTGACACTCGCAAGGCCTCTCCAGCTGAATATTCCGCACCAGGTGTCGCCCAAACGTCGTGCCGCCCGTTTTTTGAATGTGCAGGAAAACTATAACATCGTCTCCTTTAATGTTGAAGTCTACAACACGATTTAAATCGGCTTTGGTGAAGTTGAAGCGCGGGACGAAGCGGACCAGAGCGCCGTCTTCTGCGATGTACGGATCCTTTTGGAGCCGGTCTTGGATGTCGCTGCCACGGCCCCGAGAACCAGTTGCGCTGCCGTCCTTAAACCAGGATCCCAGATGGTGCAGCACCTGGCACTCAGACCTGCTCGGGCACACATATTGGATCATAATGACGCCAAACAGCAACACCATGAGCAGGACGATGAGGAGCCGGTGGGGGGGGCTGCTGCTGCTGCTGCTGCTGCTGGACCTGTCATCCATCTTCTCGGGACGGGCAGAAAAACATCACTCAGGCAGTCCGGACCCCTGCCTCGGCTGGGGAACCTCGGGGGATGTTGTTTATACGACCACCAAACGAAGCCAAAACAATAACAATGCAGCTGCTAGCCAGCTAACGGTAGCTAGCTATCGACTGAGTCTCAGACAAAAAACGGCCGATAACTTATCGTAACGGTTGCTGTGTTAAAGCCAACAAATCGTAAAGGTCCCATCTGAAATAGTTAAGTAGTTTTTCCAGCAGTATTGATTTGTTCTACTCAGGAGATAATCTTTCTCGCAGCAGTAAATCCGAGCCTGCCGCGGCCATCGATTCTTGACCTTTCTTCCCAGCAGCCTCTGCGCTCAATATGGGCGTGAAAATTACGTCACCGTGTGAACGTGCTACCGAACCAGAACCATGGCAACACGAAGTTGACCGAAAACAACCGGTTGACGGTTTCCAGTGTTTAATATCGATTAGTTACCGGAATAAAACAGCACAGGCTTTGTCTATGTAATGTGTAAATTAGACATACACGACAATTATAATTTATCGCCGAAATAGCTCAGTTGGGAGAGCGTTAGACTGAAGATCTAAAGGTCCCTGGTTCGATCCCGGGTTTCGGCATTTTGATTGATTTGATTGATACATTGATCTGAACCGGACTTAAGGTAAAACACTATATTTCCAGTGGGCGAGGTTTCATATACATTTAACGTTAAACATCCTGTCAATCATTTAATAGCGGAGGCCTTAAATTGACCCTTTCTAGATTCCGTCCCAGTCCGCTATTTGCTGCAGTGTCTGTCAGAGCCTCTTTTTCCTTAACATACTTATAACGTTATATGTTATATGTGATGTGCTAGACTCGTCTGTGTGTTTTTAAAAGATAAAAGTGACATTAATGTTAGCTGACTAATTATTATTCATTAATATATATTTATATATATATATATATATATATATATATATATATATATATATATATATATTGCCAGACCACAATGTGGAGGAAACTCTGAGACATGTTTGTGAAATTAATGTAAATGTTAAAAAACATAATAGAACAGCTGATTAAATTAAATATAAATATAAATGTAAATATAAAAATGTTGCACAGTCCTGTCTCCAGTAGTAACACTGCAAAATCAATATATGTACTAATACATTAATGGTTGTATCTCCACCTTGTATGATAATCAAATAAGTTAATATATGTTTAAAACAAAAAGAAGTAATAGTGGATCAATAAGACATTGGCCTCTATGAACTCATTATTGTGTTATATCAAACGAAAAGCCATGAAAACATAAATAACTGAGTTATGTGCATTTGTATTTATAAATCCAAATGATGTATTATTAACATCCAAATTAAATGAATTAACTGTTTACTAACCATCAGTTCAATCCATTTTCTCCCTCACTCTCAACTGACTTATGATAACAGCAGTCTGTCCTCTGTAGAAACCTTAAGTCACTCATCATGTTCATTCAGTTCTCTGGTAATTCACTCTAGTGTAGGAGCTATTTATTTGTTGTTTATCAAATGTTTGATTAGTCTACATGTTTGCTTCATTTCTATATAGATTTTGATAGTATTTTGTTTTGCTAATTATTGTTTTAGCTAAATTATTATTATTATTTTGTTTAGTATATTTAGTTTAGCATAATAAGTATTTTGTTTTATTTGTGTATTAGGTAACACTGGGCCCCCGAGGATAGGACCAGCATGCACCTGGGTCGCATGTACCCTAAATTTAATTAGATTTTTAGTAGTTCAACAACCTGAAGTTGTCATTTGACTTGTTGGTTCCCTCTTTTTGTACATTTTATAATTGATATGATCAATATGTTCATAACTTAACCCCCTAAATTCAGGTGTTGACATATTTATTATTCGGTAGATCAGCTTTGATTTATCAGTAGGGTGGGGGGTTATAGGCAGATGCCAATGTCTGACCCAGAGGGAAGAATTTCACCCCAGCTCCACCCCACATTCCTCCTACCCTTTTGGGGCAATTAAAAAGGCTATTTGTGTGTGGTTCTCTATAGTCTCTGCTTATCTGTGCTAGCAGGTTGTTTTAACAGGACTCATATGTTGCCTCAGAATGAGAGGATGCTGGGTTCAGACTATATTGGTCTTGTAACAGCTGAGTATCTGTTTGTAATCAGGATTATGAAACACTGTTGTGTAACATGTTAAAGAATAAAAAAATCTAAATGTTTACTTCATAATTTAATTGTAAAGATTTATAATTTAGCATTTTATATTTTAATGTTTGGACCCAGAAGCTGATTTTTAAAAAAATAAATTGGGCAAATTAATTATTTAAATGTTTTAAAAAAGTCCCGCCGTTTATACCTCAGAGCTGTCAAGAGTGAAATGTCCTCTGATTAACGTCATTCATCAAACTCTTCATCAGTGCGATCATCCAGATAATCACTTTGTCTGCACGCTGATTACATCCTCTGGAGCACGCGCTCATACAAACAGGCCAGTTGGCAAAAGCAGACGTCATGACGCCGCGGCTACGTCACTGCCAGAGGAACGTAGAGCACCAAAGATCGTTTGTGTAGAGAGATGTATCAGCCGACCCGAAGTTGTTGTTGTTTCCATCACTACATGTGTTTTGGACTTTTAGCCATATTGTTAAATAATGTTAATTAAACCAAGTTTAATTAACATGCACGTAACATAATTAACATGTCTATCAATCACTGTGTGTATTTGGATGCGGATCCTGATCAATGTCCAGATTAAAACATTGTAAACATTTTCTATCTTAAAATAACAAATTGAGAAACTTTAGCAGAGGTACGCTCTCGTCTGTTTTAATGTGTTATTGAATAAACAAACTGATTCAGCAATGGGACAGACTTTCTTATCCTCTTTATGGTCTGTGACATTTGTTATAAATACTGTTTACATTCAGTAACCAGTAAAACAGAAACCCCAGTACTGCACCAGTGATAAACCCAATTGCCCCATTAAGTGCCCAGGGTGGGAATTCATAGGTGTTCAATAGGATTAGTGACCTATGGTGAATAGATCAATAACTTAATTTACACTTTTTCACTCATCAATGCTCCTGTTTCTTAAAACTAATTAATTAATATGATATTATTCTTACATAATATTGTTATATTATTCAACACGAAATGTTCTCCCACATTTGTCTACCCACCACCTTTCTACAAGGAACCCACTTTAAACATCGTAACTTCTACTAAGAAATATGTCTAATAACAACTCATACCTGACTTTATCTTACAGAAATGTATCCTTTAAGAACTATTAAGGTGTTACGATCTAGATATTTCAAATTCCACTTTACTCCCAAAGAAAAATAAATTAAAAATCTTTAAGTGATTTTTTTTTTCTTTTCAATTTAGTATTGTAGGAATATGGTTTACAAAAAGCTCTTTAATTTAATGTATTAATTTACTTATCACTAGGGTCAACAAAGCTTCATGGGGGTCGAGAGTCCTTCTTGATTTTAAGGGCTGTGAGAAAACTAATAATAATATACCCATTAGGCCTATAGCTCAGTGTTTGGTTAACTTCTGTGAAGAAATGTAAAGTAAAGTAAAATGTTAAGTAACTTGTCTTGTAGAATAAGAAAACACTGAAAATGTATATAAAAAAAAGACACTTATTAAGTATATATGATTATTAAACATCAACAACAAGAAGTGACAGAAGATTGTATGAAAAGTTCCCTAAACTGGAAAAAATCTGCTAAAAAAATCATCCAAATCACTTTTGTTACACAAACTTCTTGCAGTTACTGAGTTCACTGTTTGGATTCATTGTACAGTTTTGAATATAAACATGAAATATCCATAAGATATGTCACTTAGTCAAAAGGCTGGTAACCTCTGGTGTAGTGTGATAACTGTGTTAATAGTTCCTTGAGAGTGAGGCGGAGTGATCCCTCTGTGCGTCCTCCGGCTCTCTGTTGTGTAACAGTCGGACTGCGGAGCGGTGAGTCGGTCCCCGCCCTGGTTTCTTTAAATACCCTCCACCACGGTGCACCGTTACACAGACACACCCGGGGATGTGCTGACTTTATATTCTGCCTACACCGTGGACACAGTTGAGTCTGACCTCTAACATGGAGCTGGACCGACGGCTGCTGCTCGCTCACTGTGCGGCTCACGCCCTGTCGGTGGTGGCGGGCTTGCTGGTGGTCGTCCCCATGGCTCTCAACGGCTCCGCGTTCAAAGGCCGCTGCGCACTCTTCTCCACCGGCTACTGGAGGACAGAGAACCGGGCCGAGCTGACGGGGCAGCCGGGAGACGTCTCTCACCTGGTGGTGCAGCAGTGGGGCCCACCGGCAGCCTGCCAGTTCTCCACATTTGTGGGTATTTTCACGGTCCTGTACGGCGCAGCGCAGGGCTGGAGGTATCTCTTCTATCTGCACGGACGACATGATGAGTGAGTGACATTATATCACTGACCTAATTCTGCATATATATACCCACACACACACACACACACACACACACACACACACACACACACACATATATATACTGAAACAGTGGAAGTAACACTTATATACAGTGGTGGAATGTAACTGAGTACTTTTTACTCCGCTACATTTATTTTAAAGCTTCAGTTACTAGTTACTCTGTATATTTAGATTATGAATACTAGATATCCATCAACTAACACATTATAGTATATTATTGTAGGTTAAGCGACCTGCAGCATTATAGTGGTGTATATATTAATGTATAAATAATTATAATCCAGTAATATAATGTGTATTATTATCCCGCTTATTTATACATTTTATACATTTTTTATATACTGTGTGTAATGATGCTGCTACACTTCAATTTCCCAGCTTGGGATCAATAAAGTATATCTATCTATCTATCTATCTATCTATCTATCTATCTATCTATCTATCTGTCTATTCTGCATGATGAGAACTTTTACTTGTGGTACTCCAAGTATGTTTTGCTGCTAATAATGATGTACTTTCACTTCAGTAAGATTTTGAAAACAGCTTTACTTGTATTTTTACACTCATATTTCTATGTGTACTGAAGTAAAAGATCTGAGTTGTAGTTGCTGCAGCAGTAGTTGTGTAACAGTAGTTGGAGAGGTACAAAGTACTATTTTATATATATTTTAGAAAGTGGAAATAAAACTACTGTACTGTAATAAAAGCACTCCTCAGTAAGTACATAGCTATGACCACCATATATTTTGTTTCTAATAAATGTGCATCTATATACATCTAGTAATACATGATTAATATGTCTATAGATATACTTAAAGTAAACTAAAACAATAGGCAGACATACAAACACCCTCCTGAAATTAAGAATGAG